GGTTGTCCTCTGCTAGTCAGACGTGCCTCTACCCCCACCCACCACCCGCTGTTGTTCCTGGCTTTTGGCATCATCATTCAATCAGTCAACAGCATGGTGTAATTAAACACTCGGCAAATGTCGAGATGTCACAGTCATGGTCGGACTTTTCTGCGGCGCCGTTATTAACAAATTTGTTTATATTGTTTTAACGTCAACGCAATATCTCCATGAGTGCACATACATAAGTATATATGTACATAATACATATGTACATATGCTTACGATTATATAGTAACTTGCTTTAGGCCGCACGTTAGAAAACCTATGTACATACACGTGCATGTGCATGTAGAGGTATTATGTACATATGTACAAGTACGAGTATGTACGAAACAAATTTCCTTAATTTCATTATATGTACGAAACAAATTTCCTTAATTTCATTACGAGAGATAACATTTATAATTTGATAGAGCTAAATAAATTTAGAAAAATGTAGCTGTGACTGAAACAAAAAAGTAAGCTGCGCTAAAAAGGTAATTCCATTCATTCAACCCTTCTTTTAAGCCATGGAGTAAAAAATGTATACTACTTTTATTAGTTTTGTATAAATTTTCTAAAATAGTTGATATTTTCCTTTACGATTCGTTGTACACATATTCTGCAGTTCCAATTTACTGAAGGCCAGAAACACATCCTGAAACAAGTAAGTACTTCAATATCCCTTTATAAGCGAATTCGCTTAATAGGTAAAATGAGTTACTTTTGAAGTGCATTCTGGAAAACAACTATTATTTGAACATTGAAGAAAATAAATATTTATATATTTGACACTACAATACTACTGCAATTAAGGCATTTAAAATACTTGTAACTATTCTGGACTCGAATACTTTGCATTGTTGACAGTATTGAAGCTACTTTTGGCCATAAGCAACAGGTGTCCATATATACATACATACATTTTATTCTTAGATACTACATATATCCTTATACGAGTATACTCGTATGTAGTCTCAAGCAGCACAAGAAGTTAGTTCACGTCGTCATGGAGCGGATCGCTTCATTAATTGCTCCATTTAAAAAAAATTGTTTGTTTAATACGATGTCATAAAAAACTACCAATTGTGTAAGCCCTGACAATAAAAGGTGCAAACGATATATTAGAGTTATGAAAAGTGAATATGAAATGAATGCTAGACTCCAATGGGTTCAACTCCTAAATACCCTGGACCCACTCCCAAAAATAAAAACAAACATTTTTAAATATTTGTTTTTAAATAATTGTTTTTATTTTAAATAAATAAGATACAGAGATCACTAATGCCAATTTTCATCATGATACGTAAATGTAAAAGTAAGTTATATCCATATATTCGATCGAAATTTGTATATTATTACAATTTCTTTTCTTTTTAATTTTTGTAATTTTTAAAATTTCTATGAGTATTGCACACATAGCAAAAATTATTCAAAGTCGCGGCACCCGGCCTTAGCTTTTCCGCTATATTATTATTTTATTAAATTAATTAAGTTAAAAACATTATTTTTCCAAAAAAATTTATGTAGTTTTTTATTAAACCGGTATTCTGCTAACAATATTATTATTATTAATAAAGGAATGCTAAAGTCGAGCAGGCTCAACTCTTAAATACCCTGTATCTTCCACCAAAAAGGAAAAAATGAAAAAAATTAATTAATTTAAAAAAATTATATTAATTAAATTAAATACAAATTATGCAATACATATATGCAAAAGTGGAGACATGTTCATGTACAGTTTCAACAGCATAACTTTACATCAGAATCGTGCCTCTGCGTGTTTATATGCGTGTATGTGTGCAGCACAAAGTTGAGCCAAAGCAGCAACAACAACAGCTGCGGGCAGAGCTCCAGGCAGCGCATGGGCAGCGATTTTATTTATGGCTATAACTTTCTTCAAAATTGACCAATCATGAGAAAATTAACATTCGGACACATAATCACTAACTGGATTTATATGCCAAATTTGAGTTCAAATTCCAAGAATTACAGGAGTTATGAAAAGACGAATTGCGGGGAAGTGGGGGAAGGGGGGGGGGGGGGGGGGGGGTATCAGAAAAAAAAACACAAACTCGATCTGCCTGGGGCTTAGGGGAACCTGAATGCCAAGTTTGGTTATCCTAGCTATTGTACTTGCTGAGATCGTTGCGCTCATACAGACAGACGGTCGGACGGACGGACATGCTATACCGTCTCGATTTGTCATCCTGGTCAATAATATATATACTTTGTGTGGTCTGCCACGCCTCCTATGTTACATACATTCGCACAAAACTAGTATAGCCTTTTACCCTTTGCGTACAGGCTATAATTGGGGAATATGGGGATTTTTAAAATTGTCGATAGTATACATTTATAGGACACATTTAAATATACAATGCAATATTTACAATATTTTTAAATTAAAATTAAATATAAATTATTTTTTATGATATTATATATTTTAAAGAAGGGATCTCTTGGGGAGATCGTTCGGATAAAAAACATTTTTAGCATTCCTTTCTTGTTTTTCTTAAAATAAAAATGAACAGTAATATGTACTATGTTACTACAAGGTGTGTTCCAAAGTAAACAGGACTTTAAAAAAAAAACAGAACAAATGGTTTTTTCGGCTAAATCAATTTATTTTAATCAAAATAGTCTCCTTCACTGCTTCAAAGCATGTCGAACGAGTGTTTTAGCTCGTTGGCAGGTATGGCCGCCAGTATGCCGGTGCAAGCCTTTTGAATGGCCTCTACGTCTGCATAACGCTTCCTTTTCATGAGCAAATACATTTTTCCGAAAAGGAGCACGGTGAATACGACGAGTGGTTAATGGTAAAAATGTGATTTTTGGTCAAATAATCGGTCACAAGCGTCGATCGATTCTGAGCAATTTGTGGTCGTCAATCAATTTGTGCGGAACAAACCGTGCACACAACTTTCGTAAGCCCAAATGTTCGGTCAAAATGCGATAAATCGATGGTTTGTTCAATTCCACTTCCATCAATTTCAATGATGATTTCGGCTGATTTTTGATGAATTCACGCACAGTTTCGATGGAATTTTCGGAGATCACGAATTTTGATTGGCCCACATGTGGATCGTCATTTATGTCCAATCATCGCCATAAACTTGTTTCATCAATTGAAACGTTTCGGTAAAAGTTTTACCAATTTTAAAACAAAATTTAATGTTGGCTCTTTTTTTAGAAGCTCATTTTCGCACCGATAACACAAACATACTGACACTTAAAACGCAATAACTTCCAATCGATGAAATGTCATGAATTTCACTGGACAATCGATAAAGATAGCAGATTCTAACGCACCAGTCGACATATAGATAGCGCCACCAGGGGGCGCTAGATTCAAAAAGTCCTGTTTACTTTCGAACGCACCTTGTATAGTATATAATAATTACAAAATAATGTACATTCTCGTAAATGAACTAGGAGCATTAGAAATAATTTATTTTACAAATTATCTCTTTTTCAAAGAACAAATCTGTTTGAGTTATCCAAATTTTTTCCTTTTTTAATTTTTTTTGGCAATAAAATCAGCAACAGAAAATGCATAAATTGAATGCAATTTTCAAATTTTTAATTGTGCTCATATATTTTCTACAACCATATATCTCTTACTATTTTGTTGATTAAGTAAATTGATTAATTGATTCAAAATTACTTAACAGGTATTCAAAATTCCAAATTAGTTAGTATATTAGATTTTAACCTAATATTTAAATGCTTCTGTTTTAAATTTCTTACTTACTTATTCTTTTCTAAATACAAATAATTATAAATAAACACATTTTCCAATTTTTATACCCTGTACCCAAAGGATCTACTAGATTATTGCGAATGTATTTAATATACAGAAGGAGACGTGCAAGACCCAAAGTTATAAATATGTATATTATATATCAGTATGACAAGACGAGTCGATTTAGCCATGTCCTTCCGTCTGTCTGCTAAAGTAGTACTAGAGCTAAGACCTAGGCAGATCAAGTGGGCTATTTTTCTGATACAGACCCCCCCCCCCCCTCTCACCACTATTAATGAATTTTCATAACTTCTTGTTTATGTATTATAATTAAAATTCCGTAATTTGTAATTAAAATTCAAGTAGCTTGCTAAAGCGAGGGTTATTTTGAATTACTGCACCAGTAATTCGTCAAGATTTTTGAAACCTAATCGACACAAGCGATAGTAAGCAAAGTGTTCATAAGTTACAGATATGCAGTACTTTCGTATTCCGTATACCCTATATATATGTACATAAATTATTTTCATTTTTCTCTAAATACAAAGGACAAAGGCGTGACGAGAGTTCCGAGAAACATTTTTGAGGTGTCTTATAGTTATGGTAAGCACCTTAGTATGCTAGTCTCTGAAATATGCAATGATCTGAAACAAAAGGAACAATCTTACTACAAATTTGATTTGGAATTTGCCGGTAAAATTTGAGAGAACTTTGCAGATGAACCTATTTTTGCGAACCTGCAACGTTCCTCGAAGCTCATGATTATTTATTTTGAAAAGCTCGTTTGAGCTTAATGTTACTATGCTTTTGGGTTTAGTATAACAGCTAAAAAGCTTAAAAGAATAACAAAAGCAGAAGCGGCATAAACAATTTGTCAAAGCTAGTGCCGCTTATTTTCAAGGTTATACGTTTACGTATAATTCACCCCAAACGCAAAATATTAGTATACAAGTATAACAACAAACACATTTGCATGCTGTAGAAATTATTAAGCTAACTGTGAAATTCGACAGAAACAATAATTAGATAATACGTAAAATTAAGTGTTAATGATATTTAACATCACTATGAATGTACATATATGTATGTATATTTTATACAGATGTACATACATATGTAAAGCTCGTACATATAAAAAGCACACACCAACCAGTTGCGTCGAGTGTAGTCGTTTGATAACAAATTGAACTTTTGCTTTATTTTTCGCCGCAGTTTTCGAGCCATCGCCGGACCAGCAAGTCCAACTACGCGGAAGTTTCTATAATTATTTCTATTTTTTGTATTGGGCCCGGTCGGAACATTAGGCTAAGAACAATGATCTCTCTTCAAGCCCTCCGACAAACCGGGCTTTCTGCCACGCGCAGCTTTAACGCTTCCAGCACAATTAGACATTTCTCAGTATCTCGCACCAACTACGATAACCAAGAGTAAGTACCAGCCCCTTTGGGAGTGTTATGAGTGTGTTTGTATTATGCACACACAATTTCCTATAGATAGAACGTTTTCGAATGCAGATTCACTTGACACACCCACCGTTCGATGCCAAACACTCGAAATTAAATAGAAATATTATTTCAGTCTATACCCGTACATATTTATACATATATCAGTGACATCATTTAATTACTTTGCTAGCCCTTGTAGCCCATTGTAGTTCATAAGCCAATTTAATTAACATGATTATACCCCCGAGAGAGGCAGAAGGCGAGCACGCGATAACCAATAATACCGGCTTTTGAAGACAAAGTTGGATATTTACCATTATGCATTCATCGTGTACATACAAATACATACATACATGCATACATATGTATGTGCACATGTACTCATAATAATCACCCCATTCTGTTGTCTTATATGCAGTTGTATCGCCCACAACCAAACTATTTGTCTATAAGGAGGAAATTATTACTTTTAAACACAAGGTGGACATGTTTACATACATCTGTATATTATTAAACACATTCAGTGCGCATTGGACTATCAATATGATTTACTGTAGTGGCACGATAACTCTCTCTCTCTTTATGTGGCACAATATCAACTTTGTGGTCAAAAAGCTTTTCATCCGAATTGAACAATACATTTATAAAACATAACAAGTAAAAAAGCTAAAGTCGGGTGTCCCGACTTTGAAATACTCTGTACATATGTTTACAATAATTATAGAAAATAAAATAATTAAGAAAATAAAAAAAAATTCAATGATCGATTTTACCTTTCTCGGTATTCGAACTCACGTAAAGGGTTTATAATTGCACATTTACATAGCAATTGCGTCTGTGTTGGTGTATGTATGCCTATGCGCATCTATTCGTGTCTGTGTAAACATGTGTGCAGTCAACCAAAGCACCAGCATCAACAGCCGCGGGCAGCGCTTGAGCAGCGCTGCAGCAGCAAATATATTTATGGCTATAACTTCTTGTCAAATCGGTCTATCATAGTGAAACTTGGCATACGGACACATAATAATTAATTGGGAGTATTTGTAAAATTTTAGTTCGAAATTCCAAGAATTACGGGAGTTACGATTTGCGGGGGAGAGGGGGGAGGGAGGGAAATTCCAAAATATACATTTTCTGCGTATTCACATAAGACATCTGGGACTAAAATTTGGTGATCCTAGGTCTTATAGTCTCCGAGATATAGGCGATTATACGAATGGAAAATCGGGAAAACCCCCATAGGGGGGAAGTGGGGGGGAAATCAAAAAAATAAAACAAACTCGCATAGAATACACACATAAGGCATTTTTGTGCATTTGGTGTCTCTATCTCTTATAGTCTCTGAGATCCAGGTGTTCATACGGACGGACAGACAGCTCCCGCAAACCTAACCTGCCAATGAATAAAAATATTCATTATAGCTATGTTTATTTTGTAAATCTTCAATCTTTTTTCAAGACCTGTCCTACGTTGGACAATTATTAAATTTTATGATAAACTTTGACAATTTTTTAATCACCGTATGCCTTATCAAGGAACGAGCTCACATTGTGGGATTCCTTCTAGCTCATTGAGCTATGCCAGGCCTCTATTCATTATAGTATCAGCATTTTACCTATCGGTTTTAAACATATTCATGTATGTGTAGTATGTACATATGTATATAGAACTGTTTGTTTTAAAGAAAAAAGTTTCGACTGTATACAATAAGCAGCGAGTCAATGTACATACTATGTGACGTGCCCTCTATATTAATCTTATGAAATATAGATATTAACATAATAGAGCTGATATAATCTGATAAAAGGTAGGCACTAACATTGTAATCAATTATTGATTTCTGTATCGAAATATTCCATTTAAGCAACTCTCTCATTAAATAATGAAATTTGCAGTGCTCTCTTGCTCCCAATGCAGTGCAGCGTTAAGGCCTTGCGCTAGCCGAAGTTAGCCTAGAAGTCTCTATCGACGCGCAGGGTCTAGGACTTTCTATCCACTAAATCCACAACTACTCGTAATAAATTTGCTCTCGCTTTTGTTATTCTCAGCGAAACAACGATTGTCGGCATGGGCCAAATCCTTTACATATGCATAAATAAAACACTGAATAAAAATTTAACAATAAACGTTCTTGTTGAAAGCCAACTTTTATTTGACTTTTAGTTGATCAAAGCGTAGCTGTAGATGATATTTCAACATACATACATTACATGATTTATTTGTATAGGTTTAATGGCAATAATCACATGTACATAGTATTAAATTAGAAAACTTATGAGGAGTTATTACAATTTTAAAATTGTCTTTAGCCGCACTAAAAGAAAAGTGGGAAAAATTTCTGCTACAACTGTTAAAATATTGACAGTCTAATAAAATGGGAAAGTAGGGAAATCGACAGATTGTCGGTGTTGGCGCATGTTGGTTTTGAAAACTTACATAAATCCCAGATCTTGCTAGAACATGCCATACAACAAATATTTGTTTCATCTGCAACGATATATATTTTTTAGATTAAAATAAAAAGAACTAATTTCTAGTTTTACAAAATTTTTAGATGTAAAGTTCTAGTTGTAGGCGGCGGTAGCGGTGGTTGTGCCATGGCCGCAAAGCTCTCGTCGAAACTTGGTAAAGATAAGGTCATCATTCTGGAGCCCGCAGATGTACGTAATCATCCCAAATTCTTAAGAAAGTTATGCTATACTTATTCACTTGTAGAAGCATTATTATCAGCCAATGTTTACGCTGATAGGAGGTGGAATGAAACAAGTGGATCAATCTTACAAGCTGATGTCAGACGTACTGCCGCAAAAGGCGAAATGGATTCGTGAAAAGGCCACAGACTTTGATCCCGATAACAACGTTGTTAAGACTTCAAGTGGTACAACAATTAAGTATGATATGCTGCTCATTGCAATCGGTCTCCAGCTAAACTTTAATAAGGTAGACCCCATGAACACTATTCCAAAGCCCATACACACGTTCTGACTCTACAAACAGATCCCTGGCCTGGTGGAGGCTTTGGAGATACCAAACGGTAAAGTTGGTTCGATTTACTCACCAAAGTACGTAGACCGTGTCTACAACTCCTTGCGGAACATTAAGGAAGGTAACGCAATTTTTACGTTCCCTGCATCGCCGGTTAAGTGCCCGGGTGCGCCGCAAAAGATTTTGTACATTGCGGAGCACTATTTCCGCAAGGTAACCTTAGTTGCTGCTTTTTTAGTGGCTCTACTAACGTTTCCTTTTAGCTAGGCAAACGGAACAACATAAATGTCATATACAATACCTCGTTGCCTGTTCTTTTCGGTGTAAAGCACTATGCAGATGCCCTATGGCCCATTGTTAAGAAACGCAACATAACGGTGAACACGCGTCGAAATCTGATTGAGGTTAGACCGGAAAAAGATATCGCTATCTTCCAAAACCTGGATAATCCGAGTGAAATATATGAAGAGCAGGTACATTAACTTCTTTAATCTATCATTTTAGCTCTCTTTGAAACATTCCATTGATTTTTAAAACTTCAGTACTCGATGCTTCATGCCGTACCACCCATGAGCGCACCGGATGAGCTAACCAAGTGCAAGGAACTGGTAAACGAGTCGGGATTCGTGGATGTCGACAAATCGACACTTCAACATACAAAGTACAAGAATGTTTTCGCCATTGGAGACTGTTCTGGTTCACCGAATTCAAAGACTGCTGCATCCGCAGGTTAGTTCTTTACCCGTTATTTTTCGTGCACTATGGAAATCCAAGCGTAAATTATTTAGCAAAGCCGGCGGTGGTGCATGCAAATGGAATCCCAAGGTTTCCAAAGCAAGCCAACGCCGCATTAAATATTCAGTCTAGTCATTGATCTATAGGTCTATTGCATTTGATCGCTCAGACATGCTCTTAAACTTTTCAGCTGCACAATCACCAGTTGTCTATCGCAATATGATCGCGGCGCTGGCAGGAAAGCCTCTAAACAACAGCTACGATGGGTATGCCTCATGCCCCCTAGTTACCGGTTACAACAGCTGCATATTGGCAGAATTTGATTACTCCTTGACTCCTCTGGAGACATTCCCAATGCCCCAAAATAAGGAGCGGTACACAATGTTCTTCATGAAAAAGCAATTGATGCCTATGCTGTACTGGACACTAATGCTTCCAGGCTACTGGAATGGACCAGCTTTAATGCGAAACCTATTCGCTCCCTTTAGGTTCAGTCAAAAATAGAAGACCCTGTTACTCAAACGGCAACAAAATCCATCATTTTATGTTTATTACTTTATTTCTGTTTGTGATCGATTTTATATTGAGGCATTTTTAATGAAATAAAATATATTGATGAAAAATATTACGAACTTTGATAACCTTCGGAAAAGTTTATGATTCAATCACATAAGAGATTTTCGATACTGTGACAATTGCGACTAACATTTCAAATAACAGCGACAAATATCTGCTAATGAATAAAATTTAGTTTTATGTATATTTGGCACAAAGGGAATCCATTATCCCCAAATAAACTTATGGCTGCAGTATTTTGAGCTTTGTCAAATTGTTGATCAACTTACTCATTAACAGATCGTACATATCAAATTTCTCTTGATTTACTGTCAATTTGACAGAGATAAATGTTTCCCAGAATGAAATGAATAAAAGTAATTCTACTGATATACAAGGCTAATTCGTTTTCAGATGATCTTGGGAATCAACATTACTGACTGGCTTCAACTTGAATTTTTGTCATACGTCAATGTAAACGTAAATATTGATATACTAGTACATATAGTATGTATCGCCTACAAATTTGCATATAGTTTGAATATTTAAAGTGTGTCCTTGTTTAAGCCATTGGGGTTATTGTACGCCCTAGAAGTCTCTAGACTTAGAAATAAAACACAACGAAAAGAATACATTTTAGATATACTACAAGTATATGTATGCGGTCAACAGATTGGTACCGATTTACATTTTTTGCCGATTAACACTTCGCAGTGTTTGGGTGTTTTAATGAAAATCAATCCTAAACTGTACATACTACAAGTGATTCCAACTGTCCAATCTGCAATGCAAGTGTGTTTTATCAATGTATTCGTTTGCAAACAGAAAATGGTAATTAAGTACATCCATACCTACACACAGAAGTATGTGCATAGGTTTAAATTAAAATTTAAAATGGTTTCATATTTGCTTCTGTTCCTTTCCCATATACTCGTACTACATTTTATACATACATACTTATGTAGTTGTTGAAGCATCTTTTAATGCAATATCATTCAATTTCAGAACGAATTAATTGTATCATTTGTAGCAAAAAATGTTTTGAGATTTTATTTAAAACATGACCGAAATTGTTTTAGATCCGAAGTCATTAATTATATTTATTGGTTTATCACCATTTAGCAGTATTTCATTTATTATAGTTTCAACTAAATATTTTTTTATATTCGTTCATTTATATCACTTCCCCATATTCTTCCCATTTCTTTTCTTTTTGTGTTTTTGATGCAAAGAATTACAATTATAAGACATAATTCATTTGTTTTATATTGTGTTCAATTTACTTGATTCAATCATTAATTATGTTTATAACTTTTTCTAAAAATTTTTTCGTTGCCTTAGCCATACATTTATTGCACTTTGTAAACATATAAATTAAACACAAGTTTATACTATATAGTTTAATGTACAACATTTTTGTTGGTTTATCATTTTCGTGTTTGTTTATTAATTTATTTATTAAATGTAAATTGGAATTTTGATTACTTATTTAAACATTAACATTACTATAAGCATTAAGTATAGGTTTAATCTATTTTGCCTTGTCCAATCTCTTATTTTTGCATTCAAGTTGAAAGATATAACAAACGATACAAGTTTACCAATAAATATTCAGCTTCCTCGTCCAGCACCACTTTGAAGTGGATCCAGCTAGCCAGTGTATTGGAGGATCTTATTTATGCGGCAATGGCTTATTTTGCTTTCATGATTGTATGACTGCATCGGCATTGTTTCTATGTGTACATGTACTCGGTATTCTGCGTTTTCAGTGTGGTGGATATAAGGCCACCACTTGGTTCCCTTTGTACGCGTAAAAGATACCTTACTTAATGTAATAGTTGCAATTTTTTATTCTTGAGTGCAATTTTAATAAGGGTATTATTAGTGAGAAAAATGAGGGGAAATATTACATTACAAAAACACGTTGATTCCATGGACACAAAATGCCAAAAGAAAGTGCTCAAAGTTAAAACTGAAATATGTATGTATATTAGAGTATAATTTAAAGAAGAAGATATTTCCTGCAGATAAACGGCGAACCCACCCCGGCCATAATAAAATTAGATCGATTTTGTGTGTGGTTAAGTTAAAGCAATACCACAGTCTTTAGAGAGCAGGAAATTTTTGAAAAAGAAATCTGCAAAACTGCTGCAAAGTGAATATTTAGCACGAACGTGAGTTTGATTTTATATTTGATATCGATAAATCTATTATAATTGTTTGGTCATGCAAAAACAGCAAAAACCGGCAGTACGACTTAGCTAATAAGTAAAGCAAAGTAACTCATCAGCAGGGTGCTCATTTTTTCTTATAACTAGCTTTGCACTGCAAGGTGAGCGCTTTACTTTTCTTACTTGATTATGATTATATAATAATTATAAGTCACATGTTAAAATAACCCTTTGTCTGCATGGTGTGTGGATTTTTTAAATTATTTGAAATTCGTTTAAATGCAACAGCCCTAAAAGTACAATCGACTGACACCGTGAAAATGTATTAATTTATTTTTAAATTTAATTTTACACTTTCGATTTTGCTTATTTTCGCTAATATTTTCGCATATTTGAAATCATAAAAAAGCTTATGATTATATAATAATTATAAGTCACATGTTAAAATACCCCTTTGTCTGCATGGTGTGTGGATTTTTGAAATTATTTAAAATTCATTTAAATGTAACAGCCCTAAAAATACAATCGATTGACACCATGAACATTTATCGATGTGCTATGTTATCGGTAATAAACAGGGTTGCTTGTTGCAGACACAACAAAAGCAGAGCGTGGCGTCGCTTGGCGCTTGGTTTTAAAGTTAACGAATTGTGTTACTTGGTTTGATGAGTTTGTGCAGAAGAAAAACTAAATTTTGTATTATCAATTAAATTGTTAAAAACTCAAAATGAAGGCAGTGTAAGTAAAAGTGAACCCTATGTTCAATAATTCCATAATGACGCCCTTCATATATTAAAATTTTGCAGCAGTAGCAGCGTTCGCACACCTATGCGTGTTTTCAAGACGCCCCGCGCTCCATTGACCGATAGGCAGCGAGAGACAGTAGAGAAGCCTCGCGATCCTGTACATGTATATTGCAGAGTGCGACCACTGCAATCGGAAGGTGATCTCACAGGAATGCGCGTAAAGAACTCCACGACAATCACATTAACGCCGCCAGATCAGCTCCTCCATCACAAGCAATCGGCACAGCGCGAAATACAGTATATATTTAAGCACGTCTTTCAGTCTGATTCCACGCAGCAGGATGTGTTTACGGCAGTGGCTCAGCCGCTGGTCGAAAATCTTGTACGCGGTCGTAACAGTTTGCTCTTCACGTACGGAGTGACGGGTAGCGGGAAAACCTATACCATGACTGGTAATTTAAGACATCGTGGCATTATGCCACGTTGCCTAGACGTACTGTTTTGCACCATATCAGACTATCAAGCAAAGAAGTTTGTTTTTAAGCCAGACAGGCTAAATGGCTTTGAAATTTTATCTGACGAAGATGCGCTGCTCGAGCGACAACAGGAAATGAATCAGCGGTTCGCCGGAGCTGGCCGCTTCGCCTTTCGACGCAAAGACTCTGACCCAGAAATTGCGTCGCAAGCCTCAGTTGATCCAAGGCCGGTGTTGGGAATAGATGAGGACAATATGTTCTCGGTCTTTGTCACCTATATCGAGATTTACAATAACAGTGTCTACGATCTTTTGGAGGACTCGGGCATACAGAAGTAAATATAATTAACAATCAACAACATATCACGTGCATACATATTTATTATTTCTTGCTTTTTCTAGGACTTTGCAAAGCAAAATCATACGTGAAGATGCCAACCGCCAAATGTTCGTTCACGGTGTCACTGAGGTTGAAGTCAAGACAGTTGACGAAGCTCTCGAGGTGTTTCAGATGGGACAAAAACGGAAACGCATGGGTCACACCGTTTTGAATTCCGAGTCAAGTCGTAGTCACTCTGTCTTCAATATCCGTCTGGTTCAGGCTCCCACTGACTGCCAGGGCGAGCATGTGGTCCAGGACAAGCACACAATCACGGTCAGCCAGCTATCTCTGGTTGATCTGGCTGGCAGTGAACGTTCCTCGCGCACAAAAAATACGGGAATTCGCTTGCGCGAGGCTGGCAACATAAACAATTCCTTGATGACGCTGCGTACTTGCTTGGAGTACCTGCGTGAGAATCAGCAAACACCCTTTGGCATAGCGCCCAAGAAAATTCCATATCGTGATTCGAAAATCACACACATGTTTAAGAACTACTTTGATGGCGAGGGTCAAGTTTCGATGATTGTGTGCATCAATCCGAGAATCGAGGACCATGAAGAGAATATGGTATATACAGTAACATTTACCAGTTATCGAACAACTTATCCAATTGACTTTATACACCATTTGGTTATTTTCAGCAAGTTATGAAATTCGCCGAAATGACCCAAGAGGTTCAAATAGCGCGTGCCACCCCAATGAAGACAGATCTAGGCTTAACACCAGGACGTCGGAAGGCAAACAAAATGTTTAAGATCGCATTAAACAACCTCAATGAACTTGGCGTACCAGAGGCTAAAGAAATAGATGTAGATGTGGGTCTTGTGTACAGTTTAGGACCAGATTTTCCCAGCTATCAAATGGATAGTCCAGAAGCTGCAATGAAAATACAAGAACTTATGCAGTACTTGGAGCAACGCATAGAAAAACGCAAAAAGCTGCGCAGCAATATGGACATAAAATGTTAGGACTAGTAAATCTCAGACTGTCGCGAAACGGTAATAATCTGTAATTTTTTTCCATTATAGGTAACAATTTCCGTCAAGTCATAATGAATTTGGAAAAAGACAACTTGCAATTGCGAACAGAGTTAGCATCTCTAAAAGCCGTCTACAAACAAGAACGCGACCGTAGTACAGCTCTCGAAAATAAGGTGCGCATTCATGAGAGTTCCATAGATGTACTCAACAACAGCCTGAGCAAGCGCGAAAGGCAAATAGAGGAATTGTCCCAGAAATTAAATGAAAAGGAGAATATGTTAACGCAAAAGGAGCACGAAAAGGAGAAACAAAAGAAAAAATTTAGCTCGAAACTTGCTGTTGAGTCCGATAAAAACAAGCGGGAATTTGAAGTAAAATTACGAGAGCAACGCGCCAAACTGCAGGAACGGATGCGCATTAAAGATGAGAAGCTGCGCCTTGTGTCAAATATTCTTCAGTCCGAAGATCTGCCAAGTCTGCCGCGGTCTCATAGTACAGAGGATATGCTTGGAGACAAGGATCGCGGTGCGATGACTGCGCGCACCGAATCCTCAGTGCCAGTGACAACGCGAACTGATATTTATTGCACGCCCCGTCATGTAAGATTCATAAGACATTAAACCTAACCATTACATCATTAATTTAATATTCTCTGTTCTAAAAACATAGGGCGTCGCTGCTGCAAATACCAGGCATCGACGATCACGTTCTGCGGGCGACAAGTGGCTGGAGCACCGAGCTGCCAATCCCGTACCACTGGGCACCATTATGCAGCCGTACTTAAAGAACCGAAAATCGGTTACAAAACTTACCGACATGAAGGAACTAACCGGGCATGGTGCCACCAAGTACTGTCTCGTTGCCCAGGAGGCCGATACTGATGGCGATGTGGAAACAAAGCTATACAAGGGTAACGTGATTCCAACCTGTGGTGGTGGCGCACAAGTTGTATTCGACGATGTCGAGTGCTTAAAGCAAAAATCACCCGTCCACTCGCCAACTCGCAAGCGCCCAAGCAATGGCAATTTATCGGGACTTGGAGCAGTGGTGCCAAGTACAGTGACAGTGACGTCTGTACAGGATGTTGCCTCACGCTGCAATTTGGGCATTGAGGGGCACAGTAGCAAGAAATCGAAGATGTGAATGAAATGTCGACCATCGCAAAAACTTACGCTATTTAAAGTATATTAGTCATTTTTTAGTTATTTTTCCTGTCGTTAAATTGAAGTTCTTGTAATCAATTGAGGATTTGGTTATTATGTATATTTAATACTCATTTATATTAAATTTGAAAGAAATTTGAAATCGTTGCGAGTTTCGTTATATTAATATTGTATGGTTTGTTTCTATAGCTAAAAATTGTTAACAGTTTCCAAAAGAAAAACAAAAATGGAATGCTAGAGTGGGACAGGCCCAACTCTTAATATCCTTTGCCCAATTCCCCAAAAACCAAATTAACATAAATTTTTTTAATGCTTATGTAATAATTGGATAACATTTATTGAATCGGAATTGCGCCTATGTTTGGCTATATGTGCAGAAAAAAATTAATCCAAAACAACAGCTGTGAGTGGAGACTACAATTAAAATTTATCTATTACGAGACTTGATTTATGGACACACAAGCACTACCCGGAAGTGCTCTAAGAATTACCGAAGCTATGAAAAATCACTAATCATCAGATCAGAAAAAAAAACACGATCTGCCTAGGGCTTAGGGGAACGTTGATAAGTTTGGTTTGGTTATTCTACCTCTTGAACTTCCAAAGATCCTTTTGTTCATACACAAGGACATTGCTAAATCAAGTCGTTTTGTCATATTGATCAAGAATATACATACATATATACTTTGAGGTTTGCCACGCTCCCTTCTGTGTGCTATAAACATTTGCATCTGGGCACAGGACATAAAAACTATGAAATAAAGTTCTTACAGAGCGATTACAGTTAGTAGTCGTTAACAACCCCTCTCTGGGAATGTACCAATTTTTTAAGAATAATAACTCAATTAAAAATCTGGTTTTTAATTATGTTTTGAATTTATTGTTACGATTATCATGGTTAAAGTATAATCATATATTTTATCATTTAAAGTAGTTTGTGAATTTCTATTCCCAAAGTTGCGCCCCAGCGCGCAAGCTCAGTGTGTGTACAAATACATATTTATATAGCGTACGATATTATTGGCCAATGTACCTATTTATATGTATATGCGTACTATATTCATTTTTAAGTGGTAATTAGAAAAGATGAACAAACAAAAAATCACATGCACATACATTTATTAACTCTTGTTTAACTATTCCTGCGTTTATTCAGATTTATGTTTAAACTTAAGCCAATAAATTTTATTTAAATACATACGGTACCGTACACATATATATTGGTAGATTAATTTCAATTCAATTACAATTACTAATAAATCAGTCTATAATTAAAATATATGTTCGCTTAATGCTTTTGTGTATGTGTGCGGTGTGTGCTTGTATGTTGATGATTGTAAGTGTATGAGCTGCCCAACTTTTAAACTTATAACATACGATTGCCAGGTTAACACAACTTCGAAACGACTTCGCATCATCATCGTCATGATCATCAATGGTGCCGCAGCGGAAGCTCTGTACTACTTCCACCGCCTAGTTCCCGTAATCCCATTACTATTAATGGCAATTGTTGTGGCAAATGAATACAAAAAAATACAAAATAGAGCAATAATCATTTTAAATTTACTTGAAGCTTGTGCCAATATAATTTGAACGATGCTCCCCAAGAGCTTTAACAAGAAAATCAATTTTCACATGGAAACAAAACACAAACTGAGGGACTTATGAACAAGAAACGATACCACAAAACTCAACAGAATCCAAATATATAAGTGAAATGCACAAACGGCATTAACATTCAAGTAAACAATTTAATTATATAATATAAAGCTGTTTTTTAATTAAGGTTCGTTCCCATTAGGCTTCCATTCGAATTGAACATAATAACTGTAGGCCTAAGCATAATAACTGTATACCTAAAATGTGTTAATTGATTTTCAATGCCATAATAAACCATTAAAACTGTATAGAACTAAGCAAGAAATTATTCTATGATTGGAAAACAAATTTTGGCTATGAAAGTAGCAAAATAAATGAAATAAATTATAACATTGAAAACTTTAGATTAAAAATTTCATCAATGTGATTATTGTTGAGGTCCGAGCCGAGGAGCTCCATTTGTTGGCAAGGCTAGCAATGACCGTTTTCCCGCGCATATGCGCGTGTGAATGAAGTGAATGAGTGTTTGGTGTGCTTGTAAGTTTCTATGATGTTTGAGTTTTCATTAAATATGCACTCGACTATGAAATCGTTACCGATTCACAATTTCTACGAGCTACTAAACTGACTCTCCCGCCGTTTGAAGGGATCATAACATAAAGAATAGTACGCCTTTGTTTGCTTCGTGTGCAAATCAACTGCTTCGCTATGCAATGGAATCGCTCCTATGAACACTTCACACAAGCTCCCTCCACATCAAAGTCCAGAACCATAAGCTTTGTCTCCTCTGTGCCATTACGAGAGCCGACTGCGCAGATCAGTTTCGTATCGTTCGCCCTTGATTTGTAAATTAGGCGAAATATGAGCAAATGTTTACCTATAAATTCAATAGTCGGTACATACCTTATGCGCCATACAACGCCACCAGAACCGCCAGAATCCAGTGCTACTAGATTACGTATAAACTCGCCGGTTTTTACGTCCCATAACTTGACTGTACCATCGTCCGAGCTTGTGACAACAAAACGTGAATTGAATTGCAAGCAAGTGACTGCAGACTGATGCTTATTTGGACCTGATAGCACATAGGAAATGAAAATGAGTTTACACGATTAGGTTCCCCACTATTATCTACTTACCCGATAGTGTCTGCAGGCACTGCCCCGTTGTTATATCCCAGACTTTGACGGTTGAGTCTGCATTTCCAGAGACGAGAATATTCTGCCTCAGTTCCATTCCCGATGTCAGACTTTGGTGACCCATCAGTGTGTGTTTGCAATTACCAGTCTCTACATCCCAGACTCGAATGGAAGTATCCAGAGAGCCGGATACAACATGAATCCCATCGAACTATAGCGCATACGATTATTAGATATCAATTTAAATTAGGCTCAAATGCCTAGCACAATCGCTTACCTGCAGGGAGTATACGCGGTTCGTGTGTCCTTGTAGGGTGTGTAGGCACTCCTGACGCTCTGGATGCCATATTTTAACCATGTAATCGTAGGCCCCGGAGACAATAAGCTTGCCATCATATTGCACACATCGGACCGCAGCCAGATGACCCACTAGCACATGCAGACAAGTGCCCAGCTCAATGTCCCAAACGCGTAAAGTAGCATCCCGGGAACCACTGACAACCCTGTAATGTAATGAGGTATCAATATTGTTAGACAAAATTGTTGAGACCGCTCCAAACAACTTGAACTTACTTATTGCCGTGCAAATGCATGCATCGCACCGTTGAGGTATGACCCTGTAAGGTGTGCACACAAGTGCCTCTCTCCATGTCCCATACCTTCAGCGTTCGATCTGTGCTGCCAGAGATTATAATGTTGTCCGACATTTGCGACGACCAGACGCCGCCAGTATGACCCACCAAAGTTCGCAAGCACTAAAATGGCAATTAGAAAGATAAACCAGTTACGTAAAGAGTTTTAAGGGATGTACATATCCACCATAGAATCATAAATGTCGGCTTATAACTACTAAGGTATTTTCGATAAGCGGAAGCTAAATAATGTATACATTTCATTTTATGCCTTACATCAACAAATTTATTCCTCCATTATAATAGACCGCGAATTTTATACATATGTACATTTAGTCAGCCGTACCTGAAGATGGTTTAACCCCATCAGATACGGCAACAACAGTTGGCATATCGATTATATGAGCTCTATATCGTATAGTGTTCTGACACAATTGATCTCGACATATTATTTCTGAGTCCTTCAAAAACTGAGCTGAATGGAACAGACAGACGGACTTCGCGCTTTGGAATTGTATAGTTATGGTAATTATATATCCTATACCGTCTTGTTTACCGTTCCAGGGAATTATTTTTAATATTATTTCTGTTGGAGCAAACCTGGTCAATAATAAATCTATCGTTTAAGAACTGTCCGTAGTTCAGGAGACTCTTAATTATATATCAATTGTCAAATTTTTTCACTTACCTTGCCCGTTACTGCCGACCAAACCTTGAGTGTGTTGTCGTCTGAGCCTGAGACGATTCGGTTGGCAGAAAACTGTAGGCATGTGATGACATGATCGTCGTGACCCTTTAGAACCTTGGGCTTGCGAACGGCTCTCGAGCGCCAATTCATTTCAATGATGTGCTGTCGCATATACGCTGCCTTCCAAGGCGACGAGATAGGTGGCATATTACCGTCGCGTCCCCGTTTTGGACGATCGCTGCGCGGCTCGGTTAGGATCTGCGCCTTACGACATTTTTCCTTCCATAGCAGATTGTCGTCACACAAGAACCGCCAACTGCGACATGTCTGTGCAGCACGGAGCAAGTCTTTCGGCTCCAGATAGGATAAAACAAACAGAGCCAATTCTCGCGGCAACAACGAGATAAAATCACGCTGGAATTGTGGCTCAATGACCTTCATCATGTGACGCACTTGCGAGGGATCGCAATGTTCGATCAGACGATCCACTGCTAGCAAACGCTCCCCATGGGTCCAGCGCTGAAATTGAGCCAACCACGGCTGCAGCTCTGGCGGAGGGTTATCCCGCGTAGTTATAAAAGAACGTGGTGTGCGTCGACCTAATGGAGAATTAATCACGGCTGCAACCCCACAGCCAAACGTTGCTGCCGTCGAAGGTGTTATGGAAGCAGTGACGGGTAGCACTGATGAAGCGTGTTGAGAAGAACGTGGCGTCGAAGCGAAATCATAAGCAATACGTTTGCGGCAATTGTTGTCTCCTGTCGCAGCACTACCTCCATATGTGAGTTGCACGCTATAGTCGCTATCCAGCAGGCGTCCATCATTGTATTTGCGTTTGCGCTGTTGGGCATTGTTAGCCGATGCCACGGTTCCCGCGCTGGCCAGAGAGCAATCAGTTACACCCTGCTCATCACCAAGGTAGCTTTCGCCTGCATCCATATCCAGCGTCTCGCTTAGGCTTGCGTTGCTGCCACTAAGACTGCTATTTCCTATTGCATTATTTTGGCAAGTGCAAACCTCCTCCATATCAGAGGAGTTGTTATCCTCATCGCAATTTGCCCAGGGCTCGTCTACATTAAAGTCAGCAGGATCCACCACTGCCTCGGCATTGATAGGTCCGTTTCCACCATTGCCATTTCCTTCTTCGACCACAACTTCTAAAACAATGACATCATTTGAGGAGCAATTGCGTTGCGATTGCGTGCGTTGGCGTTGCCTAGCAGTTATGTTGTTGTTGTTGCTATTGCCACAGGCCGCACTGGCTCGAGATAGAAAACGTTCATTCGTTTGGGCGCTGGCATTAACCTGGCGTGTACTTTTGGCTGCCGTCGCATACTGGCAACGTGCCGACGATGTCGAAGGCTGTGCGTCGTCGAGTACTCCGGCGCAGGCTGGGTCACTGCCATTAGTGGGGCGACCGCAGGTAACCTCTTGACTGGTTTGCGACGCCACAGAATTAAATGCCGTCGATTGTACAAGCGCTGCAGCCACATCCTTGTGCTCCTGCTCTAAGCTGCTTTCTTTGCCCTGTGACGGCGCAGGCGCAGACAACAAGTTATCATCGCAATTAGTGCTTGTGAAGGCGTCAGTTCTGGCTGCTCCGGTGCATTTGGTTGGAGATGTGGCTGTAGTAGTGGCTTCTATGATGACCGAGGACTTGAAAAACGGGGACGACAAGGTTGTGGCGTTGTGCTGGGAGCAAGAGGCAGCTCCACACAGCGAGGCGCCTAGATTGAGTTTGGCAGTGGACTTGCTTAGCCGATTGTTTGAATATTTGCGACTACTCGTTGGGGTTGTCGACAGATCTTTATATGTACACTATAAAAATTTTTAAATATTTTATTTCAAATCATTCGATGCGTTTTTGCTACTCACCTTGCTATCGGAGGAGACTGCTCGTCCGCTACTGCTACTGCTGCTCGGCCAGTCGTCGCTGCTGCTGCTTACGCCACTAGCACCGCCGCCGGCACAGGCTCTGGGCTTGGAATTATCCATACACGATTTGATCAGACTTAAATTCAACTTGTTTTTGCTCATCACCGAACTGGTCTTGAGCACAATGCCCCCGGTTAGGCGTTGTTCATTCTCAAAATCGCAACGTTCTATTAAATCCATTGACTCGATATCAGCTTTGGACATTGGAGGTGCATGGGAGCTGGACACTGGCGCCTCAACACAAACGACACCATCCTGAGCGGGCAATGCACTGGCATTGGTCGTTAGGCTCATTTGCTTCAGGCGCACTGACATCAGTCGATCGTGTAAAGATGACTCAACTTCGGCATTGCCACTGCTGCCGCTATCCGTGTCATCGGCCCCACTAATATCAGATGCTTGTTCAGACTTAATTCCCCTTGTTGTTGTCGCTTCTGAGCTGCAGATGGTGGATAACCCTTGGGTGGCTGTTGCATACTCTTCAGCATGGTCCTCTCCAAACATAAACTCATCACTGAGCCGCTTAGGGTTGCCAGTCTTTTCCCCAAACTCAGACTGAACAGCATTTGTCCCGGTGCTGTTTGGATGCGCTTGAACATCTTCAACAACGGGCGTTTCCAAATAAATTTTTGAACCATCGGTCGTCATAATGATGGCATTAACTGTACCATCGGTCAAAGCCATTTGTGAGGTATTAGCGCAGTCTTCGGCCGAATTTATAGTTTGTCCATTTACAACAGCTACCACATCCTCATCTTCTTCGTCTTCAACAATATCCTCATCATCATCATCTTCGTCATCGTTTAAGAGGCTGACGACCGGAGGATCATTGAAAAAAGCGTTATTTATAGAGCTTACACTGTGGTCCGAGGCGCTTTCCATTTGTCCGTTGAGCGTGTCTGTTGAGGAGCTATCGTCCACTGCCACTACACCAACGGTAGATGCACCGGCTGTGCTAATGGGCAGTGAATTGGAAGAACTAATCTCGAAAGTCTCCAGCACTCCAGAGGTGCTAGACTCATCATCGAGAACTACAGCAAACCCATGTTGCGAGTTTGAAGAGACCAGGTCCTCCACGTCTTCCCTCAACTTGGACATAGATCCTACGACTTCACTGGTAGTCGGCTCGAGTTGGGTCTTAAGCTCGATTTGTCGGAAATCTCTTCTGCTGCTCCCTCCTTCCTGAACCACTTGGGGGATGCCGATGGTGGACACGCTGCTAGCAACTGAACATCCTTTTTCCATAATACAAATACACAAGGGGAGCACACGGTAGCCGCAACTGTCACCCTGGTTGCTGCTCTCCTTGCCACACTCTGGTTGCTCTCTCTATATGTATGTATGGTATGTATTTACTGTAAAATATTTAAAATACTTATCATGTAGATATACATACATATGTACATTTTTGTAAATACAAAGGCTTCGTTGTCAGGTAATTGAAATAGCCTTTCTTAATTCTCTACCTTAGCATTCATCCATCCAACCAACGCAACTGAACTTAAATGCAACGTCCTTAAAATCTGTCAGTCCTAGACAAAGTGAATTCATCAACTGAGAAAAAATTCCCACGCTATACGAAAGAACAGTCGAGGGAAACGGCTGCGCTCTTGTGATCGTGCATGTACATATATACATATTTATGTATGTATATACATATATATGAGTGTTTTTATACATACATATGTACATCTAAATGACTATTCTCGGTGGCCGGTTGCGAAAAAGGGAAAGACAGTGGGATAGATTTGTAAAAATGCAGCAGCCGTAGCTGTCGAAGCAATCAAAACTCAAAAAAGGAAATCTCAAAAGTGCATCGGCGGAAGAAACTGAAATAGAATGGAAAAGAAGACGAAACGGGTCTTACAACACACACACACACACACACTAACGCCAAAACACACGCAGGCAAAAGCAACACACACACAAGAGGCAAAGAGATGCCAAGAGTAGAAGTAACGGATGGATGGAGAAGAAGCAACAAAGATACAGTGGCGTACACCTTGCAATTCAAGCCGCTATTTGTTTTCGCTTCGTGTCTTTTCTCCCCCCGTCACCATTCCCTTTGCGAACAGACTGAGCAAGGCAGTAGGCAAGCCTGTGTGCTTCTGCCCTCTATCAAGCGTACACACAAACATACCCGTACATTATACATATATGTATGTATGTACATGCACACATCGGCAACGTCAAAAGGGATCCGATCGCTGCAACCAACGAAGAGTGCAACAGCATCCGCAGTGACTGAAAAAAGGGCGATCACAAAGGAATTTTCATCGCTCGCATCTGCACTACTACAATAACATAAACATGTAGTATGTCTGGTATACACATACATATGTGCGCGTTTGTATGCATGTAGGTCCTTGGACTAGTATGTGTGTGTGTGCAAAGGTTCGCTTGTATTTCTGGTTGCATCACACGTAAAAAAGATAAGACAGATGCGCTAGTAAGCATGAGAAATGTAGGTAGGTCTTCAATTTCTTGCTTGGCTGTTGACCTGAGCTCTTTCTTAAAAGAACTTAACCGCATTGTGGGTCACAGGATAGAGCGAAAACGCACAAACACACATGCACGGACAGTTCTTTTAGTCGAAGAATGTCGTACAAGAGTCTCATGATTATGAAGTTTTCTCCATTATGTGCACGTACATCATTTTTTTTTAGTTGTTACCTACGAGCACTTTTTCATGACGCCCCAACAAGAATACATACGCACCAATAATAAGCGTGATTTAACAACTGAATTACATGCTAATTATAAATATAATTGTAAAAGTGAAATATTTTGCTATCTACGCCAATTAAACAATTAAAAGGCACTGGCCCTAACCCCACTTTTAGCACCAGCACTGCAGCCCCTTATTTCGTGGAGCAAACAACAAAAGAAAATGTGAACATTGTTGTACACACAAACACACAGTAGCTACTTGCGGATGTTATATGTCATATTAAGTTCACACAGGTAGATTAGTACTTTTTTCAGTAAAAGAGTACAAAACCATTTGCTAAACATATTTAGTGAATTTCATGTTTATAGTTTCACCTCGTTTATTTAAACATTTTTTTTCGTTTTTACTTTTTTTGCGTTCATCCCACACACACACACATAAGTATGCACACTCTCTTGGATATGAGTAAATATGACTCGATGTTTTCACATACATTTGCAATGTTTTCCTCGGATGTAAACGTATTCCAGTGCTGTTCTTCAATTTTGCACTACAGTTTATTAATTATACTTAATTATTGGACAGACAAAACTTTTACAAAGTAATTTACACGCACTAAGCGATTTAGAGTAGCCCCGTTGCAAACGCGTAAAAACGCCAAAAATACTATGCCCAGCCCAAATATACATATGCATACATATCTAGCGTTTAAATGGTCACACTGCAACATATTCGATAAAAAGGCGCGAACAGCACATAAATTTAAATTACTGTGATTTAAAAATCTTAACGGATCAGTTAGTATAAAAAAGTATTTCGATTCCATAAAGAAGGTAAATGCTTACCTATATGACAGTATTACTTAGTTTCCAGTTATATTGAAGACTTCCACCAAGTACCGAGTGCGGAAAAACTAGAGGTGAATCGGTCTGTCAAAGCTAATTCCTGTGACTGGGTTCTCAATTGGAAGTACTGAACTAGCTCATTAGTTTCTTTGATTTTAATTTTTATCTGCCGACATTTTATGACCGTTTTAATGGTTCGATTCAAATAATATAAATATAATATGGTGAGCTAAATTATTGAATTAAATAGATGACTGACTGGCTGTCAAAACGAATGATTAGTTCGTTCCCCGGAACGGAACTATTAAATAGAATTCTCATCCCCACCTCCAACCCAAACAGCTGTTTCTGACCCGGCTGTATTTGTTGTGAAATTAGAATTATATACATATATTTTTTGAAACACAGAAAGTCTATCAACACAATTACCAAAACAAAAGACATAATATAAAAAATGGCAACAACATATATCAACAAATTGCTGCAACGAGTGGAATTATCGCAAAACCAAGAGGATAAGAAGCATTTCATCTACATGCGAAGCAAATGGTTGGAAAGCGAACAAGAAGTTGAATTTCTTATATTGCTAACAAAAAACAATCAAAACTACAAGGGTAAACTAAAATACTGCGAAATACGCAGCGCAGCCGATGAATTAGACCGGCCCTACGAAGAATTTTTAGCCGAGTGTAAAGAGGCCTTGACCACAAATATGGGTAAAAGTGGATTCGATTATGAAGTGGACAATGAGGTAAGAATATGGGTAGCTCAGTCATACATAGATGTTGTTGTTTGATACACATATATACATATGTTTTAATTAAGGCATTCAAGTTATTTAAATGTGAGGGCTATGAAACACTGTACTTGGACATACAGGTATGTACACATATACATATTTATGTATTTACATTAAAGTCCTAAATGGCAAATTGAAAGAAAAGACGAGATAAACTCAGAATATGTACATACATACATGTTTTAATACTTAAAGCTAGACAAGCTAAGCACCCCGAATCAACTGATGGATGCTGCTGTTGAAATTATAGCTATTGGTGGTTACAAAGTTTCTTGTCCCACTAATTCTGTACCAGAGGCAGTTACCGTACAATCCAGCGAAATATTAAAGGAATACAAGAACTCTATAGAGGAATACAAATTACGGGAACAAAAATTGTTGAAGAAATGCATTATGCTAATAAACGACAAGAAGGCCCGCATTGAAGAACTGGAAGAAACACTGAAGACATGTCGGTGCGTTGACATGGATGTGGCAAGAGACCCTTCTGAAGAAAGTGAGGCAGTTAATGCTGATGATGACGACTACGAAGGTCCAACGCAAGCAATGACAGAAATTCAAACAACGACTAGGGCTCGTACCCAGCGAATTTTGGATGACACCATAGAAAATTCGGATTAGGATCAGCAATTCATCAACTTCTGTATACTTAAGCTCCATTTGATTTACAATTGGGCAATGTTATAAGTACTTCTGAACAACAAAATGAATTCGTTGCTTGTATATATAGGTGCTTGTATATATATATATTTTTTATGTTTTTCTTCTTGTAATAAATTAGTTTTTAATTTATGTATGTATATGTATCCCATGTATAAATAAACAACAATACGACGTTAAACATAATACATTATCGTGTATGACTTACAATTAGAGACAGAAAATTTAAGATCGCGTTTTGGAATAAGTTAGTTTCAGATTTTTGGAATTTCTCAAATTAATAACAAAACATCGGTTCAAAATTAAAGCATTTGAATTGTACATAAGTATATATGTATATAGTATATATATATGTATGTATGTACGCTAATATATTATGTGTATGCGAAAGGGTGTGTAACATTAAAAAGAGCAAAACAATCAGCCTTAGAGTCGCAGCTCTGGCCACTCAAAGCGCAAGCAGATCATCATCAGCAGCTGGTTTCTTTGGCGTCTTCCTTAAGCTTTCGCCGGTTACCGCAGTGGTGGGATTGCTGGTGGCGGCGTTGTTGGATCCTTGGATGGTTGGAAGATTTTCGGCAGCCGCTGCGCGCTCCTCGAGAAATTTGTCAAACTCGGAGCTGGTCAGCTCTTCAATGCCATCTATGTCTTTCTGAAGAATGTTAAATTATATCAATTGGTCAGGTTAATTTCAAAATTATTTGTTTAAATTCATATGTTATGGAAAATAAAAAAAATGAAGCAAAATAAGAGCAAAGAATTACGAAACGTGAACCGTGTGATGTATGAGCTTAACTAGAAACATACAACAAAAGTTTTGCTACTTACTGAGCTGCCCAACCACGCCTCCATTTCATCGATTTCATTCTCTTTCGTCGACTTTATGGTGTGAGGTGTGTCAGTCAGTTGGAAAGCGCGCGTCGCAAAACAGAACCAATGAACAACAAACAAAGTAACGCAGGCATCGTAACAAAAATAAAAGCCAAACAGAATTCAGAGTTAAAAAAATATGCCAAATGTGAAATAAAGTATAATAATATAGGAAAAGAGCGCCATTAGTTATATCAGGCCCAGGCGGTCCCTGTACTCACTTTACTTACCACCGGCGGCTCGCCGGCTCCACGTTGTTTGTAAGGAGATGTCCCCGAAGCAGCCACACTGCCAGCCGCAGCATCAACTGATGGAATGTCGCGCAACAAATCACTTTTGCTATATTTTTATTAACGAGGGGAAACAAAATTTGTTTTGATAAAGCAATTCAAGTTAGAGTTATTGGGACCCTAATATTTATTTCCAAGTTTTATCGAACGATAATGTTATCCGATTTAAAAAGTGGCTACTAGGAACTAGTGGAATACTACATAAATCCAAGGGAAAACTAAACCCAACAGTTTATCTGAATAATAATTAGCAATTTGTAGAATACAGAAACATTTAAAAGTCATTTCAAAACAAACAAAATATTTGTTCACTTAGCAAAGGGAATCAACCACAAAAATTTAAATGGGAATAGGCCTGATCATAACGCTCAAATTCAAGTTTAAGAAAACAAACAAAGAAAAAAAAACTAAAAAAAAATTCCGAGTGACACAAATCGATTAGTAAGTCAAGTTTTCTATTTGTTAATTTAAAACTTATTTTAATGTTTATTTTAAATTTCTTTTTAAGTTATACTTGACATATAAATTTAAATGAAAAATATGCATTCGATGTTCAACCTTCGTGATACTACGTTATCTGAACATTCAGGCTTCCATTTTATAAACAGAGAACGTCAAAAAAGTAAGTAGCCATCGAGTTTTGAATAGTATGGGTGTTTGGAAAATTCTCTAAATACTATTAGAAATAAAAAATAGATCGTCACTTACTGATTGCCATCGGTGCGTGACTGCGCCAACATGTCAAACTCATCTCTACTGACACTGGCGGCACCGCCTACACTGGCGGAAGCTCCCAAATTCAATTGGCCAATGCTTTGCGGCAATTTCTCCTCACTGCTTTCGATCAGATCGATCAGCAGTTGATCACTTTTAGGTGTGTTAGTGGCCGTAGCTGCGTTTGTTGCTCCTGAAGTGGCTGATGCTGCCGCCGCTGGTACTCCCATCGCAGCACCCAAAACTGCAGAGGGCGAACTAACGGCACTGTTATTGTGAGAACGGTTCTTCTCATATCGCTGGTGGCGCAAAAATAAGTTGTTAAGCTCATCATTGATGCGCAAGAATTCGGCAGTTAGTTCATCTTCCTGAACGCGTCCTATCAAATCAACAATGCGCGACTGCATTTCCTTGCAGGTAGCAGTCAGCTCATTCAGCAGTACATAGTCGTCCGGCTCTTCCTGGCCCGGCTTGAGCACGCTTAGCATCTCTCCCAGTATGGACATATTGTTGTTAACTACCTCGAGCTCGGAGCGCAGTTTTGCTGTCTGCTCAGGCGTGAGAGTGAGAGGGCCAGTGGCCACTGGCGCCGCAACTCCTGGCATGGCGACCGCATGTTGAGGGGATATTGTTTGCTGGTGCAGCTGGACAGGCATCTCAGGAACGCTCTAAAGTCACGACAAGAAAGCTGGCTTAATTGGATAACCTTTAATGCTGAAAGTCAACTTACCCGCTGGGGCGTATAAATGGGCGCCATTGCATCCAAGTCTGTGGGCGGAAACTCTATACCCTTATTCTTTAGCTCCATATACATTTGCGTCACTCCATTCAAATCGGGTTGGTTCTTAAATGCATCCGCCCATATTTGTATCAGACTCAACACTTTCTCCTGTACAATGGCTGGCGGATCGTTTTTTGGCCCAATCAGCTTAACCAGCTCCTGTATAAAGTCCTTTTGGGCCACTAGCACATGGAATGCCTTGCCACAATTTTTGACGCACGTCTCCAGCACAGTTAGTGTATACATAATAACCTGGTTATTTTTTCCGGCATTCTGTGACAGGCGTTTGCGTATCGCCTTCATAGCATCGCGCGCCGTATCTGAGGACTCATTGATCATGTCACAGATTTCCATATTGGCAGCCCAGTTTTCGGATGCCAGACCCGCATCGGTTGCTTGTTCTGTAATGGGAAATTCATTTATGAAGGGTCAAAGAGAGCTATTTGAGTCTCTTCCACAACTTATCAATGCTTCGTACTGGACGCCCACCCATTAAATTGTTTAAACATTTCGAACATGCTATGTACATATTTAGCATTTTGGCGAGTAAACATGAAAAACATGTGAATGTTTGTATTTGAACATTTAGCACCTGACTTTTTTTCAGTGATCAGTGAAATCATGTGGCAATAGACCTAGACCCTATTTTAAAAAACCATATTTTTTAAACAAATAAGCACGTACTATATTTTAGAAAAAATATTTAATAGGTGCAATATACGAGAAATAGAAGGCGGCCCTTATTAACTAGTCAGCTGCGAATTGGAATGCAAGGCATGAAGCAACAAATTAACGAAACACAAAATAACCGCAAGAAATTCAACACCACACACACACATACACACAATCTTGCATACAAACGATACTACGAAAGTGCGGCAAAAACAAAACTGAATACATTAACACTTTTATGTAACGAATAACAACAAACGCGAGCAAAGGTTGATGACTAATTACATTTGACATTTGACTGAATGACGGTCTATGGCTCCAGCTCCCGAGGGGGGTGAAGTAGTCGCCAAGTAGAACTATTTTGGTAATTATCGTTCTGTTGTTAGTCGGTATGTGTAATCAAAATAGACATCATTATTGCGCTGACAATGCAATTATATGCACACATTGCTCACTACTTAATTTGTATTGTTTATGTCGTTGGTATCAATTGTCGTCTGTCGTCTTTATTCTCTCTGCTGTTGTTATCTTATCAAAAAGATGCGATAGCGTTACTACTACATACATATATGTATGTACATACATATGTGTATGAAAAATGGCAGCAAAAACAAAATCACTTTTTGTTGTCGGTGGGTGGAGCAGGCGATAGGTATGCGTGTTTGTGCGTTAATGTGTCATGAAATAAATCGACGAAAACGATCCAAGGAAAGTTGTTGAATGCAATTTTTCAGCATCTACGCAGCACTAAATACCGGTTATGTATATGTATAATAAGGAGGCTCTAAAAACCTTACCATATTGCACATTTCACAATGCAAGTGCGCAATTATACATATGTATTCTGATTTCCACAATTTAAAATTGTACACACATACACACTCAAAATCCACAAAATTAGTACGCTGCAACCTGGCCGATTTTTTTTTTTTGCTGTCCACTCACCTATACGCTGTCCCACGGGAGTGGAAAATACATTTCCGAGGCTTCCAACGTTGAAAAATGAGGCCATTTTATTGCACTTCCTATTGTTTAATATTATGTTTGTTATGGTTTCGCTGGAGCTCAACTCTTTACGCGCTTACATCTGCTTTGGGTGCACTTGCTGTTATGAGTGCCTCTCTCTCATGAGCCTTAAACATGGTGCTGTATAATACCAAAATAGTAGTCTTATCGAGCTATCGGCTAGCAACCCTGTGGATGGCAGCACTGAATGGAATGAAATTACATGGCATCTTTGTTTGACGAAAAATGATGCAAAAGAGAAATGAATGAAGCAGTCACAGTGGAAGGAAACACGAGGGAATCATTAAAATTAGGGAAATAATTAATAATTCGGAAAGTAATTAATTGTCGTAAAGTCGTAATGCGCCATTTTCGGCTGTGTGTTCTTGTTTTTGCAAAGAAAAAGTATTCTACGCACATAAAACCGAGTTGCGGGCTCACAGCGTAAAGCGAAAAAGCGTGCAAGTGTGTGAGTGTGCGTGTGTCGGTTGTCGTGTCGGTGTTGGTGTGTTGAGCGAGAAAAGAAGAAAAAAAGAACAAGAAAAGTGTGGTGGTGATTGTCGCGCGGGCAACAAAAACGTCTTGTGAAGGACGTGTCGATGACACGGGCTGGATCCTAGGATCATTGTCCAACAACAATAACGTATACAACAGCAGCAGTAAGAGCGCAGAGAGGCGGATGCTGCTGAATGTGTGGGCTTGGGCTTGTTTCATTTCCTTCTTGCATCACCACCACTCCCCCCGTCATCTTTCATTCATCACTAACTTTATTTCACGACTCGGCCAAGTTAATTTGTAACACTTCAATCGCTGGAAATCCCCCGTTATTGGGCTTGAGTGGCGCTTTCACACTGTGCTTGTGTATTTCCAAAAGCGCAAGAAAAATCCTTCAAAATTCCACCACAAACGCCCACCACTGCGAGCGCCATGCCCGTCTCGGTCGCTGTGTGCGAAACAGCAAATGTCGTCAACGCAGCTCTACGAGAATCGCTTGGCGTTAATGTTGGCAGAGGTGCTGACGAAGTTAAAACCGGCAGTGGTGGTGGCCACAATAACAATGGGTCCGCTTGCGACGAATCCGATGATAACTTGCAAAGTCAAATTGTAGCAAACGCAAAACGTGTCTTGCTGGCCAAAATCGAATATGAGGAAGTCGAAAATTACCACGAGTCGGTGCTGGAAGGCTTAAAATCGAAGTATGTCGTCATCAAGCCAACTAATAATAGCAGTGGGACTGGAACGGGAACGTCTGCAGCAAGCAACTGCAACGCCGGCTTTGGGAACAACAAAAGTGGTATTATCAGCAATGTTGGCAAAATTGTGGGCGTAAATGGACATGGTAAGTGTGTGAAAATGATAGGGAGGGCGTGGACATGGTTAGTCGATTTGAGCTGTTTTCCCTTTTACTCATTTGTCCCGCTTCGTGGAGTTGGCAAAATTGTCCATGTGCTTTAGTTTTTGTTCTGCTGGCACATTTACTTTTATATGTATGAACATATATGTATGTATATACCCACACATTTGTACACATGTATGAAGGTGTATGAAAATATTGGTTATAATACGAGAGAATCACGTGTGTTGTTTTAGTCATCTTGATTTACACATTTTTTTAAAAGTTGCTACTATTTTTTTACTACCCAACGGTTCTACGGCAGCACTGCTGCCTGCATATACATATGCCGACAGCGCAGTAAGCCGCAGCTGCATCAACAGCATACCTGTACTTCTTGATTTATATTTTTATGTTTGTATTTACATGTATATGTACATGTGTATGTATGTATTTACATGTGTACGTATGTATGTACATGTGGTAGTTAGACGGCTCGGCTGGTGTACGTGCCACCATATAAACAAAGTATGCACAAAAGACTGACGAAACAATTAATCCTGATCGTTATAAAATAAAAACAAAGAATCCTCACTACGAATTTACTATTATTTAGTACTGAATTACGCGAAAACGTGTCGCAATAGCTGATAAAATGTGTGTATGCATATACATATGTATGTACATATATACATACATAGTTTTTATGTATTTTGTAATCACAGCGCTCTGCGATTTTCTTCTACTAAAAGCGCCTCTTATACATATACCCATAAAAGTACATATGGAGATGTACATACATATGCATACATATTTATATAAATGTAATTAATTTTTTTTTGTGCCAGCGACAAAGAATGCGACGCATTTTCTTAGGTGTTTTATTTAACTGCGTTTTTTGAGTGGTGGGCTATAACAAAAGCGCAAGACGAGTGCAAATGTGAATCATTTCACACACACACACATATGCATAGTATTTGTCTGGCGCTGCACAAAGCAGGAAATCAGACAAAGCCAAGTTGCTGTCGTGAAAAATCATCTTGGCCATGCTGTTTTCTGGTCTTACCACAATGAAAAAACTCATGCTCACTTGTACAAGAGCCAATATATGTACATAGCTGGCAACACTGGAATCTACACCCGCAACAATTGAATTTGCATGTGTGCGAGAGAGACGGCACCTGTGGTGTGGGCACCACACTGGCTGACTACTTTGTATATATTTTTTTCAGCGAGTACAAAACGCTCGCTGTTATCAGAAGACACACGTTGCTTGTGTCAGCCCCCAATGCACCCCACTGCGCCCGTGTTCCACCAGCTGACCGAGCTGCTAATATGTGTAACCGTATATTTGTGTGTATGTGCACACCACCACTTTCCCCACCACGGTCACCATCGAGCCTCGTTGCTCGCTGTTTAGCTTTTGGCTGTGGATGTCTTGTCATATTCGTTTAATTTTAGTTCGGAGCGAAGAATTTGCAAATACGTGTATTTATTTTAATAGTATTTTCAATGCATTATGACTGTGATAAACATGGACACCTTCGCCTTGCTCTTAATTTACAAATTTATTCTTGTACCCTGTGGCACGCTTATAATACGAATATTGAAACTTTTGCTAAAGTCGTACAAATCGACCAATCTTGCTGTTGTTGTTTCTACACCCACAGACAACACCGTAAGTGGCAATCGCAAGCAGTCTGGCACATCTGATCAGCAGCAGCAACATCAACAGAATACCAATGAGCTCCCAAAACCAAGTCGCGTGCTTTACCCACGTGAGCGAATACGTATTGGATGGAAACAGTCGGAGCGCAAATGGCAGGTCGGCACAGGCCTCCTTAACGTGGGAAATACCTGTTATCTGAATTCCACATTGCAAGCCCTGTTCCACATCCCAGCATTGGCAAACTGGCTTGTATCAGAAACAGGACATGTTGATAACTGTAATATTTTGGAAACCGCTGGGTGCTGTATCATTTGTGCAATGATTAAAACGTTGCTAAGCACGCAGACTAGCAACACGGCTGTTAGGCCATTTCACATCTACACCAAGCTGAAGCAAATTTGCAAGCATATGCAGGTTGGTCATCAGGAAGATGCGCATGAGTTTCTCCGCTTCCTAGTGGAGGCTATGGAAAAAGCGTATTTGATGCGAGATAGAAACTACAAGGAACTGGATCAACTTGTAAAGGAGACGACGCCTCTGAATCAGATTTTTGGCGGCTATTTGCGCTCAGCTGTGCGTTGTTTGTCATGCAATCACGTCTCAATCACCTTTCAACATTTCCAAGATCTGTTGCTGGACATACGCAAGGCGGACACGCTGGAGGAGGCCTTTGATGGTTACTTCGCTCGTGAAAGGCTCGAAGACATGGGCTACAAGTGCGAGGGATGCAAAAAGAAGGTAAGAAATTGTTGTACCGTTTAATTCGTCTATGTACTAGTTCCTTATTACCCACACCAATGAATATTAATACGTATAAGGACTTATTTTAATGTAAATTTCATTGCGGCGAATATACATACATATTCTGCACTAAAATCCTGGAAGAACAATACACTTTATTAATCATTTTTTTCAAGGGTACGCATATATCCTTTTTTATGTTTCATTTGTATTTCATGGATATGTCTGATTTTATTTTTTGATTTTAAAAAGAATTCCTGTTCAATTACGCTTTACGAGAACAGTTGATCTAGATTTACAGAGAAATGTTGATAAAAAAATCTTCAAATTAAACTGGCTGTAAATATATAGAACGATTTAATTTATCGGAACTTAATAGATGTCGGTAATGAATTTGACTAATTTTTTAAATATGGACTCTTTTTAGGTATCGGCCACAAAACAGTTTAGCTTGGAGCGTGCGCCCATTACGTTATGCATACAGCTTAAGCGATTTAATATGATGGGAAACAAGCTGACGAAGCAAATAACCTTTAAGCCACGCATAGACCTTAGCAAATATGCAGCTAGAAGTCCAGCAGCCGCGACACAGCCTTTAACTTATCGTCTGGTATCTCTGGTCACTCATTTGGGTGTGTCGCAGCATTGTGGCCACTACACGGCGATTGGTTTGACAGAGGCTGGTGGCTATTACAACTTCGATGACAGTTATGTTCGACCCATTCAGATACATAGTGTTTGCAATACCAACGCCTACATTATGTTTTACGAGCTGGACACTCCAGCTGCGCCGGCACGCAGCCTGTCCACACAGCCATCGGCAGCGACAAGCAGTCCCAAGATAAACGGATTGCGTTTGTCAAATGGCCAGCATAGTATGGCGACGCCCACTTCAGCAGCCTCCACTGCCACATCTGGAAGCTCATCTGTGCCTGCATCGCCAACTCGATTCATTGGCCCACAACTGCCACCGGGTGGCTTAAATAATGGTTATACATCGCCTGCACATACGACGACCAATGGATTTGGGAACCATTCAGCGTCCAATCCAAAGATTGCTATACTTTATAAGAACAGCAGTCTTTGGAAGCAGGCTACAGCTTCAAGTGGCACGCCACAGAAACAGCAACAACAGTTGCAGCAAAATGGTCTCCTCGTGGGGACCGGGAAATTTCAAGAGCCTGCGTACACGAAGTCTGCATTGGCTGGCGCATCACATAAAAGCGAAACTGCTGCAATTGCAAATGGTAACAAAAGTTCCTCCTCCACCGCCAGCCACAAGGTCCTTATGCCAACGTCATCAGACGATGACGACGTTGATGTTGACGACAACAAAGTCAATCGACGCTCAGGCAAAGTAAATGCCACGCCCCAGTTGCCTAGCATGCCGAAACTGTTTGGTACAACGACCACCGCCTCCAGCAGCACGCCCGCCAAGCCCAAATTGACTCCGCTTAAGAGCCTGGTGCCGTACGAATCCGCCTCAGAAGAAGAGGAGCCAGTTTTGGTGGCGGTGGCCGCCGCCAATGTGGGCAATTTACAGTGCTACGATTCCAATCCCCGCAAGCGACGCAGCGGCGAAGAATCATCTGATTCCTCTGAGGAGGACGCTACACATACCGCTAATGGAAATGGCAATCATTGTAAAGCCAATGGTAAAAGTAAACCGCATGTCTGCTCGTCAACTAATGCCAATAACAACAACAACAGCAAACAAAAGACTGATGCTATAGACGAGATATTCAAAAGTTTAAACAACTACAAAAACAAACACAAGTCTTCGCCAAATACCGAAACAGATACTGATGATGGCGACGATGAGGAAGATGACGATGATGAGCGTAACAAAAAGAACAATAATAGCAGCAGCAAAAAAGCAAAAGCTACAGTGACCAGCAATGGATGGCGACCACAAAAGCCGCAAAACAGCAGCAATAGCAACAACAACAACTGCCGAGCGCCGCCTTCTCCTAAAACGCCACCCTCGCCGGCAGTCATCAAGAGCAAGACAGGCATTTGGCAAGTATCCCGCAGCGATGATCCTGAGAACGAGGATGAAACGGAGGATCGTAATAGTAGCTCAGATGTGGGCTCATTGACAGCAACTCTGAAAAATCCCAAAAATCCGTTTGCCACCAAGCCAGCGACGGCGACCTCAGCTGATGGCAATGCATCTAAGCGACAGAAGCTGCACAATGGCAGTGCCAAGACGCAACAGCAGACACGCCTGGGCAATGGCTATCAGAATGAAGCCAACAATGCCAATGCAGTTGGTGAGCTGCTCAAACAATCACATCGCGGCTACGGCTCGTCTGTGCTCACGTGGAATGGCAAACAGACGGAGCTGGATAAAGAGGTAAGTGTGATGAGATAATGGCTATAATGATAATTATTCGGCAACACTGTATCCCATTAGTCTACAAGCTTTAACTAAAAATATAACGGGCCATAGTTTTGCACGCGCTCACAGTTTTGTAAGCACTGTTCTGTACAATTAGTTAACAGTTTGGGTTTGTGTACGGTTCCCATTTCTGGAAAATATATTGTATGGTATACTCTAACCAAAGTAGTTGTGCATGGAATGCAGTGAAAGCAAGTCAAACTGAAAGAAAAAACAGAAATGATCGAGAGGATACGAAGAGCCAAAATAAAATTAATGTTGTTCATGTTTTTAAAGTATAAATTATTTGGGCTAACAAACAGACGTAGGTATGTAGCAGACTTCGCAAATTCTAAATCTAAGTTCGCCTGCAAAAGTGCTTCTCCATTACGAAATCTAATCGTAGTCAATCCAGGTCCACAAAAGATTCGACTTAAAGCCTCCACTAATATATGTACATACATATGTTCCAAACAAGTTTTGTGTAAACTATACCAAATTAATACTATACTTAATATAATTATTAAAAGATATGAAAAACTACTTATATTTTGTAAATGTATATATTTTAGTTGAAATACCGACTTTTTATAATTATATATTTCACTATATGTTTGGACTTATCCGAGTTTTGATCGCTCTTGTCCTTACTGTTTTTTTAAACAATTCATATATGCGAAATAGCTTTAAGTAATAACCGATCTTTATTTTTCTCTGCTTTTACTTAACATTCTCTGGCTTGGCTATTATTTTCTGTTTATTGTTGTTTACTAAAGAACTTGTTTGTAATGCATTTGTTTCCACCATTCCCCCATTCATATAGCCTTTTGATTTGGTTTGTGCGAAACGGATAACTGGTTACGGCGACATGGATGGGCACGACGCCAATGGCAATATCAATGCCGATGGCGTCAAATTTGACGTTGACGTTGATGTCGATATCGCCCTTGAACAGGCCGAGGCCGGGGTTGCAGCCATAGGAAGCTCAGCATTACAAATTTTTCCCGCCGCTGTTGCAGCTGCTGCTGCTAATGGTGACAGAGATGATGCTGAGGCAGTTGACGTTGCCAGTCTTCTGTAGGGGACAAGCACTCGACAGCTTGGCGTTGTCGACGGCTTCGTCAATTTGTCCACTTAATATTTTTGTGTAAACTATAATACAAAGAAAAACAATCAAGCAAACCATAATCTGTGATTGTGTTGAAGTTGCCAGCATGGACTTCAACGCCAGCCCGACTAGACTACCCTGTGCAATACCTGTTAGGATATATCCGAATCATAGAGCGCATAGGTAATGAGAAGCAATGCAGTCGGACCTCGAATGTTTTCAATTGATTACTGGAACGTATGCGTTATTGAGAATCATATCAACGTAATTTTTTGTTTTGCATTAAAATTATATAATTGTCCAAATTAAAGACAACTAAAACTTACATTTTTTATATTATATGTAATTAGTATACGTATACGTGAAGATATTTTCATGGCGCGCCACATTAAAATTCTCATTTTGTTGGAAAATTCTTAATAATAGACTTACGCGATCTTCGAGGTCCGATTGTACGAATAACCGATCACCGAATGAAGCTTATGATATGACTGCAACTTTCCATAGTTCGATTAATTTATAAAATGTGCGTCCTACCTGCGCGCTCCTGTTACCGTTTTGCCACTCACGCACACACAAACATACATACATATATACAAAAACACATAGCGCTGATGTTCTATAAAGCCAAGATATGAGCTATATTTGTCTTGTTCAAAATAACATAATTTAAAACCTTCATCTCCATAAGCTTCATTGCCAAACCATCTAGGTAAAAATTCCAACCTCATCTAATACAATCAACATTTTGTTTGGTTCTGCTCTTTGCAGTTGGAAGCTGAGGCGCGTGAGCAGCGCCAGCGTGATCAGGAGGATGATGAGGAGAACGAAATGGATCGAGGGCGTCAGCGAAAAGTGAAGTCGGCGACCAAATCGGTGAACAGCACACCCGGATATAATCCATTCCAGGAATACCAGGAGAACCAAAAGCGCTGGCACAAACCAAGCAACGGCGGTGGGGGTTATCCGCGTGCCTATAATCAGAACTATCGCCAGAACTTTCAGCAACGCAACAAGTTTAAGTTCAATCGCTTTAGCGGATCTGCTGGTAGCAAATTTCAGCAGCGAGCGCTACAACGTCATTTGGCCGCCGGTGGTGGCTTTACAAGGCGCCAGCAGCAACACCACCATGCACAAGGATCACAGCAGCAACAGTCGTCCTAACTATGTAACAACCTGGTGGTGCATTATAATGAAGCCTTTCTTTGGTTAGCTTCTGCTGCTTGTTAGCAGTCCTCTTTACTGGCCAGCAAGCGAGACTTTTGTAAACTTTTTAAACTGCTTATGAACGTAATTGTAGGATCTTAAGCTATAAGCTAGATTTGTTTTGACCCATCGCTCACTCCCATAAGTTTTAAGAAAGAGTGTGGCATTTTATTTATTGTTTTAGATGATTTTTGGGTAACTAGCGATTACACAGGAATTTTTTACATTTTCGAAAAATGATTTCCAACACATTCTTCACAAACACACGCACCCAAATTATACAAAACAAATTATGCAAGATTACATGAATTTTTTGAAATTATAAATAAAGAAACCCGCATATTTTTAAGAGACTAATAAAATAATATGTTTTAGCATTTTAAGTCTGTATATATTTTTGAGTATAGGAACTAAAAAGCAAAAAAAAAAAGAAAAAAAAACATTTCATTTCGTTCATAGCATTAGGTAGCTGCGGCGAAATAAAGTGCGAATGTTATAAACCAAACTAGTAATGATAATAATAAAACACATACAAACCAACATGTTAAAAATATGTAATTACTATTGTATGAACAAGATTATTGTGCAACACACACAAAGCAGGGCAAGTATGCCGATTGATTGAAAAAATTAGCAAAATTATGATAACGAATAGAAGCAAAAATACAGTTTATTCGGTTTATTTAATATAATAGTAAATAAATCATAAAACAGAACTAAAATAAATGATAGATTTTAAAAAACTGAAAAAAAAAGTTCTCTGAAATGTGCGTTAGTCTGCGTTTCTTTTTCGTCGCAGCTCCTTTTTGTTTATCATTCGCCCTTTGCGGTATCGGCTTGGCTGTGGCTGACCATATTTCAACTTTTTCCTTTGACTCTTTGGAACATTCTTTAAAGTATTGTTGTGATCGCGTCTGGATTTTTTCTGATTCGCTTTTTTGTCAAATTGCTCTTTTATTTTGAATAGTTTGCTCTTTTTGATTTTTTTCAACGTTTTCGTTTTCATCAGTTTGTCCAAGTCTTTTTTGCTCTTGATTTCTGCAGTTTTACTGGATTTCTTGACCTTGTCATCGTCGGTAAGCGGTGCGGATTTGCGCTTGCGCTCGTTAATATCGAAATCCATCCCAGGTATACAATTTGCTTTTGCTTGCTCATCCTCAACATCACTTTGTGCCTGATCCTCATCCGTTGCACTTTCTTCTGCACAGTTGGCCCCAAGCATATTCCTTTGCGCTGTCAAATCGTTGGTAGAGAGCTCAACGATTTTCACTTGGACTTCGTCATCTTCGTACGCTTTTTCCTTTTTTGCTTCGTCTTTGTCTTCTTCTGTGAGTTCTCGCAACGGCTCGAATGACTTTTTGAGGTGCTTAAAGCCCTCCTTTACCTCCTTCCTGATGCGTATGCGTTCCTCCTTAAGGTTACGTTCGAGTTCGACTTTTGCGCGTGAGCGACGTTCGTTCTTGCGCTTGCGAAAACCTGTTAAAAACTCTCTTTAAAGTAGTGCATTTAGTTTTACTGTGCTCAGAAATAAGATCACATTTACTTACTTCCGTTTCTGCGGGTCAAATACAATGTCAATTTTCTTTTTATCTTGCTTCTTTCGGGCCATTTTGATAAAAATCTAACGCAGTGTGCTTAGTTTGTTTACGTCGCAACATGTGCGGTTGAGAGAAGTTGGTACTGCCAACTTGATATTACTGTACCTATCGATAGCTTATTCCGCAATGGCTTCCCAACTGTAGAACACGTAACAGAATTTGTAAAAACGAAGTCAACTCCATTGCGAATTCAAATGTTATTCGCATAGCCGTTTTGCTGGTAATGATTTGAAAACTGCTTTAGTTGGATTATCTTAAAGAGCTACAGCTTTCTGTAGAGTGTTTGTCAACATTTTAAATGGTATTTTCGTTAGTTGCTTAAATTTTGCTTAGGATAATTGATTAAAAATATGAATCACAGAAATCTGTCTAGTCTCTGAATAAACGTTTTTACTATGGTACCGTGGAGGAAAATAAAATAACTAAATTTTCACCTCTACTTAATCTGAAAATGTAATTGATTTAGAGCAATGAGTCAATACAGTTTTTTTACATGAGTGAAATGTTTAGTTAATTTTTAAGTAAACGTACCGTCTGCGAAACACTACACATATGTTATTTTGACCGACTCTGTAGTTTTTAATAATCAAAAATATTAATTTATCTATCTTCTTTATGTATAAAAGTGGAAGTATATATATTCGCTATGGACTTCGAACCCCCTTTCCGATTTTGATCAAGTTTTCTCGTATCGATTCATCAAATGCGAGAAAGGGCATACACATCTAGAGCCATAAAAACATTTAAAATTAGATTTTTCTCTGCACATCTTATCCAAAGCACCAAAAGCATATTTAATATTTATGTACACTTATTTCTCAGTTCAATTAAAAGAACAGTGCACATTCGCACTTCTCATGCAAGGATCTAATTGAAATTATAAAAAGCGGAGGTGTTAGGAAAGATGTGATTTCGGAAAGCTTAAAAAGCACTACTATTCAGTGGCGCAGCAAAGCAAAACGGATACACTAATTTATGAATTAAAGGAAAATTTCGGTTTTTGTAAACTGGTGGTGTTTATTTTTCATCTTGCGAACTTTTCAAATCGCTTTCCAATATATATATCACATGTATGTTTTATGTATTACGTGTTACATTCGAATATTTTATAAAAATCAAGTTACAACAAGTTCTTCTAAAGAAGCTATAACATTACACAATCATGTTGACCTACACTAGGTAACTGCGTACAACTATAATATTAAATATATATAACGATATATTTTTTGCCATATGCATACGGTTTATAACTGATATATTGTTTACTTATTTAAATTCCTTGGGTTTACTCTTCATCACTGTCCTGCACAAATAGTTTTTTACGTCGGAACGAGGATGTGTCCAATACTTTGGGTGATGATAAATTCGAGTCAATGTTCAGCAAATTGCTGCTTGGTAATTCTGTTTTACGTGCGGATCCAATGCTGTGGAGCAGAGTTTATGAGTTTCACCCTAATAGATTCAAAAACCTGAATTAAGCTTACCTTCGTTTGGAAACATCCAGCCGGGACTTGCTGTGGTTAAGAGGCGTAGAGTTATCCAGCTTGTCCCGTTCATAGGCCGATGGTGTGCCTTGTTGAGAAAGTTCGAGGGCATCGTCACCACCCAAAAAGTCGGGAGTAACACCTTCTCTATTTGCGATCGGTGTGGAACCCACTAAATGAAATTCCAGGCGCGGTGCTAGTGGAATGGACGCGGTAGGCGAGGAAGGCGCTGTCAGTGTTCCGTTTTCTGCACCCTGTGATGGCGTAATGGGCTTATATAAGTGGAATATTCCCAGAATGTAGAAGAAACAACGATAAGCAGCCATTTTGAGATTGCACATTTTACCCAAAAAAGAGCGTCGCGTTTGACGAAAGCTCTTTGACTGCAAATATGTCATTTATTGAGTGGAGATGCACATAATTATTTGCATGCCCATTCACTTACCAGTCGTTTAAGAGTGGCCATAGATTTCTGTTTTCGTTGCATTTTGGAAAGCTTTGCATGCGACAACAGTTGTTCCACTGTTGGTCGCTGCAGCGGATCTGGCGACATCATTGATCTAATAATTTCCTGCAGTTCCACTGAAATCTCTGTAGGCAACGGAAACGTTAATAGATGTGATTGAAATTTGTGATAGGATTGCTGTACTAACGGTTTATGAACTCCTCTGGCAGGATTCCCTGTCGCAGCTCATGCCACAGCGGTCCATTTGAGGGTAAATCTAGCATGCCAGCTAGTTCCAGCATTGCGATACCCAAGCTGAATATATCGGCAGCCTTTGAAAAGTGGCCCTGCAGTATTTCAGGTGCCATGTAGCGTGAATCTCCCTCCGTTGCTTGATGATTGTTTGCTTTGTCAACGTCAATGACCAGTCCGAAGTCCGCCAGCTTGCAGGTATCATCATCATCGATGAGCACATTGTCCAGCTTTATGTCCAAATGTATTAAATTTCGGTCGTGCAATGACTTTAAGCCACACAGTAGATCCAATAGTATGGACCAGATGCGCTCCTCTGGTATGTATTTACGACGCCACAAGTACTGCTCCAGGCTCTCGCGGCACAATTCCATTTGCATGAACAACCGGTCGTACTGCTCCCATGCGCGAATAAAGCGAATGCAGTTCTCATGGCCGGAAAACTCCTCATAACGTCGTACCTCTTCCAAACGCTCTGCCCGGTACTGTTCGCCACGAAACAACTGCTTAGATATTTTTACGGCATAGAGTTGTCCATCGCTCCGATCCCGCACCTGGAATACCTCTCCAAAGGACCCTTCGCCTAGTTTTGCCAGACGTTCAAAGCACTGCTCAAAATGGTTCTCATTCAAACTTTGTGAGGTCACAGGCAATGTGCTGGAATTTGGAGATTCAGGGCCTCTGAATGAAATGGAATGCGCGATGTGAAAGCTGTTCGTGCCGCTAAGTCCCACTGACTGGCTTCGATTGAAGTTGTTATTATCCACGCCAGAGTACCGTTTGTATTTCGGCGGCCGGAATCGGTTGCTGTCCTCACGTTCGTGGAACTGTAATGCAAACAAACATAAACACAAAAGACGCTATATATGCAGCGGCACTTTGATTTTACCTGCTTGTGTCTGTGCTTATGCATGTCCTCGCATAACTCCGGCACCGGCAAACGTTGAAAATCCATGCTCCTATTTTCTTTTAATTCCTTGCAATAAAATGTTACTTAAAAATTAAATTAACTTCATCAGATCAAACTAGAAAATAAGAACGATTGCTGTACATAATTTTAATCATGTGGCAACTACAGCCGTGCTGCCAACTCGCTAAATAGTCCAAAAGTGTACCGATAAAAGCTGGCATTCCAAATTTCGACTAATCGATTACGATACTTTTCGTTTGGTACCTATAAGTTGGCATCCCTTCAGCACCGGCTGTTTCTGCAAGTTGTTTACATATTTAAATGACATTGTTATTGCAGCTACAGGCCTGCGGGCGAGTTCACATCTTGGCATCCTGCTCAAGTCGCATGTGCGCAATAAGTTCAGTTGCGAACAGTTTTCTTCAAAATCAGCAATGCTTAAAATTAACTCGACGTTCGGCCTCCACAGAAGTAGCGCAATTGGCCAGTGCTGGCGGCTTGGTGGGGTTCTGGCAAACCCTCTCCAACAGCACGCCTGTGGCCTACATGCAGGACGCAGTCACACAAATACACGATTATAGCGGCCTCCCCTGGTGGGCATCAATTGTACTCTCGACGTTTATTTTTCGCAGTGCTGTTACACTGCCTTTGACCATTTACCAGCATAAGATTACAGCACGCTTGGAAAAGATAACTATGGAGATGCCAGCCATAGTCGAGGAGTTGAAACGAGAGGCAGCCATTGCCAAGCAGAAGTTCAAATGGAGCGAGAAGCATACTCAAATTATCTTCAGACGATCGGTTTGTATTTTCTTCTGGGTGTTTGTTTTGTATAAATTAATATACATATGTACTATAAACTAATCAGTTATTGACACACAGATAAAAAAACAATGGCAAAAACTTATTGTGCGGGACAATTGTCATCCAATGAAGACGATCATCGTGCTTTGGGGCCAAATGCCGCTGTGGATCTTTCAGTCAGTTGCTTTGCGTAATTTAGTGTATATGTTGCCGGATCCCACCACGCTTAAGGCTCAAATTATAGCCACAGAACTGACAATAGGTGGATTTGGCTGGATTCCAAATCTCACCGTAGTGGATAGCTCATATATACTGCCAGTTGCATTAGGCCTTATCAATTTGGGCATTATTGAGCTGCAATCTATGTCACGGGCGCGTAAACCCACACGCCTCCAGAACAATGCCACGAACGTGTTTCGTGTCCTGAGTATTGTGATGGTGCCGGTGGCTTGTACCGTACCATCGGCGCTTTGCGTCTACTGGGTGGCCTCCAGCAGCTTTGGTCTAGCGCAGAATCTATTACTGCTCTCGCCGGAAGTTCGACGCGCTGTCGGTATACCAAAAACTGAAACGGAACTGCAGCAACCATATGCGCAGATTTGGCATAAAATTCAAGAGCGAGCCTACATTGCAGAAGTTCCTGCCAAGCCATCAGATAAGACAGCAGCCAAGTGAGCCTCATTATTACAAAACGGAGTAGCTAATCTAATTTGTTTAGGTTCAAGTTTACTTAACTGTTATTTTACTTTGTTGACTGTTATGTAAACATATTTTAAGCGTTACAAAGTCCACACGGATGCGCCACTGTAAATCATCTTGCTATGACTACTTAGTAATAAATGTGAGAAAACCCCCAGAAAAAATACTTAAAAACAAATATAAACATGCATCCCTAAGAAAAAATGATAAGCACTGCTTCAGTAAAAAAAGGTCTTCAGATTGCCTTACCAGATAAGCCGCTTCAGAGATACGGGTAACGGCGCTGAACTTATTGGTTGCAGCATCACTAGAGATAGGCCTCAGTCGCTTGATTGAATTTGAAAACAAGCCGTTTCAGTCAATGCTCAAACAGAGCTCGACGTGACAAGAGCTCAACGGGATCCGACAAGAAGAGATTAAATTTGAAATTCGCGCGCGGATGTTTGTTTTTAAAGTGAAATTTTCATTATCAGTGAATTCGTCAGAGTTCGAAAACAATATATAATATATACAGTATATTTGTGCTCTCATACATTAATAAAAAGTATAAACGGAAAAACAGGAAGAGACGGATGCAACGCCTTGAGGCCAAAATGGCCGCGTTAAAGTTGTTCAATAGTTTGCTGCTTGGACTAGCGCTTCTATCAGCTGTTAGTATTTATTACATTACAACAATTTCGTTTGAAAGGCTTTTAGTTAGTGGAAATATGCAAATTGCATATCCAACATTTAAGATATTTAGATAGGTTGTAGATTATAGTGAAGGATTTTTGTAAAAGAAAGTAAAGGGTAGAATTGTTGAAAAAATTCCTAAGTGCAGATAACAAATAATAATAACAGTATCAATGATTTTCAAATATAGACAATTTATTATTACTTAGTATACTTGTACATCTACAAAGTATGCATTATGTTATATTGTCCGACATTGTGTTGAATTAGTCATCATAAAGATTATAATTTGCTCTACATTCAAATTAGACAATTTCCCATAGAACTCTTTGGAATAATGTACTAAGAGAGAGTCTTATAAATTGCTTACAATTGCTGAGTAATTTATTTTAAATTACGCATTTCACAGATGCACGAAGCGCGGGCTTATCACCCTGAACCGTCTTCGAGACAGGGTGGCTATTATAGCGGGCAAGGCGCTGGGTTATCAGAATCGACAGGTTACGGGAGCACCAGCGGCCATGGCAGCTACAATGCCAGAATTCAAGATCAGCAGCCGATCTACGAACGTCCACCACGTACAGAGCAACAGGATTCGCAAACCAATGAGTACTTTGCGGGCTGTCCGGTGGACTTCACAGGTCTGCTGCCTTATGCATACGACTGTCATCGGTTTCTGAATTGCGACAAGGGCCGTGCTGATATACAAACCTGTGGTCCGGGTACAGGATTCAATCCCGAAACGCTTGTCTGCGACTATGCCAACAAGGTCAACTGCGGCGTCAATGCCGCTCTGGGTGCCCAGCAACATGCTGAGCCCCAGCGCAACTCTCGATTGTCGAGTGCAGAGGTTAAATGTCCTCCAGGATTAAATGGACTCCATCCACATCCCACGGACTGCACCAAGTTCTTGAATTGTGGTGCGGGACAAATCTTCATTCAAGATTGCGGCCCTGGCACAGCATTTAGCGCTTCTATGCTAACGTGCGATCATCGCGATAAGGTGGATTGCGGAGAGCGGCTATATGGCCGCTTATTAGATGCACTTGATGGTATGTACTATAGATTGTTAGAGTTGTGCCACTAAACGTATTAAACGTTTAATTAGCTATGTAGGTCTTATGTAGGGGAACAATTGTCCAATCATTAGTAAATAATCAATTGGATTGAATTTGATTCCATTGCTACTTATTGAAGAAACACTTCCTCAACTACAGGATTTTGATTATTGTCTGAATAAGACCAATTTAGCTATATATTGCGCAACTCTAATATTTTGTAAAACCCTATTTTCCAACTTATACTAACACACAATGGCATTAGGCCACGTTGGCGGTGGTCTAAGTTGCCCGCCCGGAGCGCATGGTCTGCATTCGCATCCCCACGACTTACACAAATATCTCATTTGCGGAGGAGTAGGTGTTCAGACACGAGTGGAAACGTGTCAACCGGGCACGATCTTCGACAGTCAAAGATTGGTATGTGTTTTTTCAGATAACGCCGAGAGTCACTACGAATTGTCCTGTAAGTTCTGATACATTATTTTTCTTAAGCTTTGCCTGTGCTTTTTGCATTCGCTGTTCATTTTTGGGTGCCTTGTACATCATGCTTTATTCATCTGCTGCTTACTTTGCTTGCTCGCTTAAAATGTATTCCACCATGCTCAATAAATAATCCCTATCTTTGCTAGCCTCTGTACACACCAGTGATCTGTTCTGTCCCGATGGCATTGTGGGTGTCTTTGCGCATCCGTTTGATCAGACTAAGTTCTTGAATTGCAAGGCTGGCAAGACAGGTGTTCAAAGCTGCGGGGCCTTTCAGGTATTTAGCATATCAAAGGGTCAGTGCCTTCCAAAGGACAACCTGATTCATTCTGACTATGTGGCCTACGTTGTCTCAGCTGTGAGCCATGAGTATTGTAAGTTTCTTTTGAAGCTGATTTATGTATGTAGATGGGCACGGGATATCTGAGGAAATCTGAGTGGAGTTTGTCTTAAGCATAATTCCCAAACTGTTATAGACTCGTACTAGTTTATCAACTTAACAAAAATTAGATGGTTACAAATAATACGTTCGTTTATTTCTTCTTTTTTTTGAATAACTGGTTTATATAGTTCTTTGAAAATAGATATAATTGATTCTTTTGTTGACCACGAAGAATCTACCCAAATCAAAGAAACCCATTTTATTCACCGTTCATAAGTTCGCAATCTAAATCTTCTTAAATTTGAGCACCTTGTATAATGGTATTTGGTTGATAATATTGTTTCCCGTGCCCATTTTTCGATAAGCGGTGTAAATTCTCTGCCCTTCTTCTGAAACTATTTTCACCCTTAATGTGACAGCGATGATGCTCACCAATTGCCCACCAGGCACGGATGGTCTTCACTTCTATCCATACGATGCAGCCAAGTATTTGTATTGCGCTAGCGGTGGCAAAATGTCCATTATGAGTTGTGAGGCCGATATGGCCTATAGCATAGGAAACCGTGCCTGTCGTGTACGTCGATTTGTTAGTGTTGGCGATCGTGTTAAGTTCTTCGCGGAACTGAGGTTGGAACAGAGAACCTACAGCTATGTGGAATGTAAGTTGGCTATAACACAGATCTGCTTTTGCTCACAAAATCTTTATGAATTCAGCGCAAGCTTTCCAGTCTGCGCTAAGCTCCTGTCCGCCTAGCTTAAACGGTGCCTACCCCTACTCCTTTCATCCGACCAAGTACGTGCTTTGCCAGCACGGTTTACTACACGTGGAATCATGTCCAATCGGCTCTGTATTCAGTCTATCGCAGCACAAGTGTTTGAAAAGTAACGTCCTGCTGGCTCATGACAGTCTTGATCACACCTATATTATTACCAATTCTCAGTTGGAGCACAGTCTGTCCAGTAAGCATTTCTCATTGTGTTTTCTCTCTTCGATTAGTTTGTTCTGCCTTACAAGTATTTTACACCCACAGCTGAGCTTATGCAGGACCTGACCACAATTACTTGTCCACCGCATGCCCAGGGGTACTATCTGCATCCCTTTGACTGCACCAAGTTCATCAGCTGTCGCGATCAGCAGACTCTAATCGAGACCTGCGAAAATGGTGGAGTTTTTAGCATCTCTCAGCGCCGATGTGTGGCGCGCGATCAATTAGACGCCTATGATCGTGTTGAGTATCTGGTCGAAACGCAACACGAGTTTGTTGAGGAGCAGCAAAATCAGCGGGAACGGGTTCAGGCACACTTCACTGGAAACTCAATCACGAACATTCATTTGACAGGCTCCGGGGAAGTAACCTGTGCTGTGGGGGCCACTGGTCTACAACCGCATCCCTATGATTGCAACAAGTTTCTGAACTGTGCTAATGGCCAAACTTTTGTTCAAAATTGCGGTCCGGGTACCTCGTTTAATCCTGCCATTGGTACGTGTGACCATGCGGACAAGGTCGATTGCAGTGCGCAGAAAGAACCCGATAGCATAAGCCACAGTAGCAGCAGCTGGAGCCAAAGCGGTAGCGGTGGTGGAGGCAGTAGTTGGAGCCAAAGCGGTAGCGGTGGTGTAGGCGGTAGCTCGAGTGTTAGTCTTGGTAAAGGACTGAGTGCGTCAAGTAATCTTCAGGGCGGACAATTTGAAGGAACGAGCAACTCTATCGACTATATTAAATGTCCGCAGACGTCCTATGGCCTTTTTGCCCATCCTTTTGATGCCACACTGTTTCTGCGCTGCGCTGATGGAAGAACACTTGTTCAGCATTGCTCACCTAGTGAAGTTTTTAGCCTCTCACGTAGCTATTGCTTACCCCTAGATCAAGTGCCCAGTAGCGATCGTGTATCTTTCATGAGTTCCAACCAAAGTGTTAGTGTGACCACGACCCAGGCCATTGAATGTGAGTGAGTTGTGGTAGAATTATGGCTTGGGCTGATGACTTCTTTGTATTGCAGCGCTAAGCTGTCCACGAAACTTTCTGGGTAAATACGTTTACCCCTTCGACTGTGTCAAGTTTATCAGCTGCGAAGCAGGCGCTACTTATCTGCTAAGTTGCCCGGCAGGCATGCACTTCAGCTTTTCACGTCGCATCTGTCTATCTTTGACTGAGGTTCAGAGCGAAGATCGTGTCCATACGGCCAGTGAGCTGCAAGAGTTCTACGAATGGTGGCTATTATGGAGCAGACAGAGGCAGCTGCAACAACAGAGCTTTGCCATCACCTGCCCCTCCGGCGTAATGGGGCCCTATCAACATCCTTTCGTCGCCAGCAAATTTCTTAGTTGTCGGCCAGGGCAATCGCTCATCTACGATTGCCCCGAGAATAAACTTTTTAGCATTTCACGCCGTTTGTGCGTGCCGCAGTGGGAATTGTTGGCTGAAGACCGTTGCGACTACCAGGTGGTAATGCTGAACAATAAAGGTGCAACCACAATCCACTAACTCGAGCCCTTAGCATTTGTGCACTCTTTTGACTTAAATGAAATGATTTTAATATTTCCAGTAAATCGGGAGCCCAAGTCATATGGTGGAATTGGTGATGGCGGTACACATTTGGGTCCTTGGGAAGTTGGAACCACCACGACAATGACGAAGACTACCAATAATGACCGCTGGACTAACATGAATATGCAAAGACCACAAGGCATTGGCTTTGGCCAACAGCAGCCGTCGCCATCTGGCTATCCACATCACGGTTCGATCTATCAGAACACGCAGGTACCGCAGCCTGGAGGCTGGTATGGCGAAGGCAGCCGTTTCGAGCTTGCGGCTCCAACACAGAGCGTGCTTTATGTCGAAGGCTCTCTACAACCAAATCGTAATTATAAACCAACTGCCACGCACACAGTCTATAAGGCGCCCCTAGAACCTTTAGCAACAACGACCACAACCAATATTTACTATGCAGAGCCCGTGGATAGCATGGAGCTCGTTAACAGTTGGCCACAAAAGCCACAAGCTCCGCGACAAAATTATAGTCGCGAAATAAACTATCACTCGAACACAAACGATGACTGGCAGCCGCTGCCCAGTCAGCCACCTAGACCTTTTTTCGAGCCCAGACCAGGCAGAACACAAAAGTTCCCATCGCTAGCAGAAGCACCAGAATCTGGACAACGTCCTCTGGACCTAGATTATAGTCCCACTGACATATCTCAACGTACCAAAGTCGCCAACGGACAACCTTCTGGCCCATATGCCAACTCCCTTGCCACAACCCCAAAATATCCACGACAATTTCATCCAGCCAAACCTATTTATCAGGGACCCACAGACGATGGCTCAGGACAGAAACCTCAAGAGTTAGACTATAGTCCTAAAGACGACTCTTCAACTTCCAAACGCTATCCATCAGGTTCTCCTCATGTGCCGGCCAACCACAGACCTATCTATGATGAATCTAATTTATATGGCGGACTTTTACCACCTCTGCCGACTCCCGTACCCCAACAAACAACTCCCTCTTCCACCAATGTTCGCACTTTTCCTATATATCCACCATTGGCCAATGCCAGCGCTTCCCAGCAACCCCACTATCCTCACTACAGTCCAGGCTATGCAGCAGTAGCTCACTCACACAATACATCCTGGCAAAAAGCACCAAACGCCGTAACAAATCGGTTCAATCCACAAATAGAAAAGTTAGATCCTCAGCAGCCGCTAGATCCATTTGATACGCAACAGGAAGAGACAGAGCCCCAGTATGATTATGAAGAAGAATCCCAACTAAATGTTGTTACGTCGACAACCGAGCGACGTCTTCTATCACCACCGCCCTTCAACCATCACTTCTATAATCCTTCGAAAACAGCGCCCATTCCAACACGACCCACAGACCCTATATCCCAGTTACCGATTAGTGACGCCCTGCGTCTTATGCTTCGTCCCTATTTGAATCACAGTGGAACGATTGAGGACGATGTCGCTCAACGTGCCGAATCTCAAATTATGTCCGTTTTAAATAGGCCGCTCAAAGAGGAAACCACAACACCTATGTCCATACTGATAACGACTACAACCATACAGCCGGACGATGACGCCGAACTGATTGTGGCTGGCGAGCAGGAAAGCCTTCACAATGCTGACGACGACTCTGTTAATGTTGCAGATAAGGGCGAAACCGCACGTACTGAACACACCCTTCATCCAAATCCCACCACATATACATCCAACGATGATGTAACCAATTTCCACGTTGGCGCACGTGGCACCCGAAAGGTAGACACCGATAGAAATAATTGGCAGACGCATGGTCACACTCGTGGCTTCCATCTGCGTCATCCAAATCTCCCCGATCCATTTGACAAGCCACGAAAGGACGATGACCAGGACAAACACCACAATAGACACCTACACCCCTCTCATACACACTTCCACCATCAACATAGTCGCGCTTACCATGATAAGCATCCCGATATGCCCAATCCGTTCAAGCACGAGTCACATCAGCATAGCGAAGCCTTTCATCGTCGTCGTCCAGATCTGCCGAATCCATTTGCTGCACACAGTGAGGAAAAGACAGAAGTGTCTGAGGTGCCGAAGCAGGTGGAGGAGTCACAAACTTCAGATGAGTCAGAGTTTCTGCCTCATTTCAATGCCGAAGCCACCACGCCTAAAGGGGTGATCGAGCACGACATAATCGACTTTCTGTCGCGAGGAAACTTTGATGCCAACCCCACGAATGCCCGCACTCCCACCCCTCCTTGCGAGTTTGATTGCAACAATGGGAGACATTGTATCAAGAAAGCTCAAGTTTGCGACGGCGTGAACAACTGCGGGAATCGCAAGGACGAGCAACAATGTGACCATCTGGGCTATGAAGTGCGTCTTACTGGTGGTGAAAAGGCTCACATGGGACGAATTGAAGTGAAAGGTAAGAAACAATACAAGATCAGCTGACAGATTTTTTGCCAGGACATTTTTGCTTCTCCGTTTAAGTAAATGGAAAGTGGGGATACGTCTGTGACGACAAGTTTGGACTACGCGATGCTGATGTCATCTGCCATGAGCTGGGATACAAAATGGGTGCACTTGAGGTGCGTGGCAGTTCCTTTTATCCCCCGATTGAGCGCAACTTCAACTATGCCATGGATGAAGTTGATTGCCGTGGCAATGAGACAAAGCTGAAGGATTGCGACTTCAAAGGCTGGGGTGTACACAATTGTGGCCCTGATGAGGTAGTGGGTGTGGTCTGTAAAGTGCCAGCGTTAAAGTGCCCCAATAACTACTGGCTTTGCTCCACATCTAAAGAGTGCATTCCGCCGGCATTTGTCTGTGATCATACAGCGGACTGTGCAGATAAGTCGGATGAGAGCGACGTTATCTGTAAGGTTAGTAATTCAAGTGGATATTAAATCATGCAAACAGAAGAAATCAATTTCAAATTTCCTTAACAAATCAATTGTTAAAAGTTCGTATCCATTTGGTTTTTGATTTACTTTTATTTTACTATTTTAACCGATTCCGCTCCTTTTCACAGGCACCCATACAATATCGTCTTGAGGGTGGACGGAGCCAAAATGAGGGTCGTCTGGAAGTCAAGTACCATGGCGTGTGGGGCAGTGTGTGTGACGATGACTTTACTTTAAAATCTGCTCAGGTGGCCTGCAACTCTTTGGGCTACTATGGACCAGCGGTGAGCATTTATTTGGTCACGTTTTAAGCCCAAAGCTAAGTAAAAAATCCATTTCAGCAAATTGAGAAGAACATTTTCGGGCCTAGCAATGGACCTATTTGGTTGGATCAAGTATCATGCTATGGCAACGAGTCTTCTATTGACAAGTGCAATCATTGGAACTGGGGCGAGCACAACTGCAATCATACTGAGGATCTGGGCCTGCTTTGTAAGGCGGGACCCCCGCCACGCCCTCGAACTCGCCTGCAGGCCCTTAGTGTGAATGCAACCAAGAATGCGCAAAACACAGCTAATAGCTTGGCCGATATTGGACTGTGGGAGCGTTCGAGTAAGGCTCTAAATACTCCGCGGCGTTGCGGTATCTTCAAGGACGATCTTGAGGATGAGTACGCACACCCAGAGCAGCGCGTAGTTCAAGGCGCCGTGGCGCGACGTGGCCGTCATCCCTGGCAGGCTACTATACGCACACGTGGACGAGCCGGCGTCTCTAGCCATTGGTGTGGAGCTGTGCTGATCTCCAAACGACATCTACTTACTGCCGCCCACTGTGTCTATGGGCACCCGAAAGGAGCATATTTTGTGCGCTTGGGTGACCATTATGCCAACATTGCTGAGTCCTCCGAGGTCGATTCGTTTATTGAGAGATGGTATGTGCATGAGAAGTTCCGCGATCAAACCCACATGAACAATGATATTGCCGTCGTGGTGCTTAAGAGCCCAGTGAAGTTTAGTGATTATATTCAGCCGATCTGTCTACCAGACCGTGGCGCGTATCATCAAGCAAATCGCAATTGTACTATATCTGGCTGGGGCTCCATTAAATCGGGCGTGTCAAGTAAGTACTGATGAGTATATGGCTATTTAAACCCTCTTAATGTCCTTTGCTTAATTCAAAGCTCCTTCGCATATCCTGCGTTCGGCCCAGTTACCCATCTTACCGGATGAAACCTGTAAACAGAAACACGTGTATGGTGATGCCATGAGCGATGGCATGTTCTGTGCCGGACAAATGGACGAAAGCGTTGATGCCTGTGAGGGCGATTCGGGAGGTCCTCTTGTCTGCTCCGATGAGGGTAAGTTGATGAAATCAAATTCAAATTTCGATCACTTTTAATTTCTTCTTGTGCCTTGACAGATGGCGAAACCTTGTACGGTCTTATATCATGGGGTCAACACTGTGGCTATGCTAATAAGCCTGGCGTATATGTGCGTGTTAGTCATTATATCGATTGGATCTACGAGAAGATCAATTTGAGCTTGACACGCGGCTAACCTTAAAGCTAAGTATAATACAAGCAACATGAAAATTAACATTACATTTCTCCATAAGTACATAAATGCTTAATGATTAAAATACAACAATAATTGGTATTGCATTTTTTGAACTCCGGTTTTGTTTTATTACAAATCTAATAAAAAGGTGGCGGCTGTCCACATTAATTAATAAGAAAATAAGGAAGTATGTATGTAAAATCCAAATCAAAATTCATGGGAGAAAAACGTGAAATATATTTTAAAGAAGAACGAAGAAATGGCGAAATCTGAAGAAACTAATTTATTTCTAAGGAGCAATTAATTTTAATAATTATTCACATAATTTTGATAACTGATATAATATTTCAAGAGACTTTGATGTTTATAAAAACGCTTCACGAGAATCCAAAACGAAAAACAGAAATTTCTGTAATTTCTGATATCGATTTAGTGACGATACACTCATGTCAGAAAACTGACTTAGCTGGTCGAGCTAAAATAATACAAGATAGAACGCTACAGTCGAGCAAGCCCGACAGTAAAATAGCCTGTACTCTCCACAAAAAAGAAAAATTAAAAAAAAAAAAATTAAATTATTAAAAAAATGAATGAATTAATTAATTTATGTTCAGTTTTAGCAGCATACATTTACATCACGTACCCATGCGTGTTTATATGCGTGTATGTATGTAGCACAAAGTTGAACCAAAGCAGCAACAACAACAACAGCTGCGGGCAGCGCTGCCGACAGAGGCAGCGCATGAGCAGCGATTTTACTTATGGCTATAACTTTCTTCAGAATTGACCTATCATGATGAAATTTGGCACACGGACACATTAGTACCTACCAAAATTGATTTTAAAATTCCGAGAATTACGGAAGTTATAAGAAAAAACACGAATTGCGGGGGAGTGGAGGGGTGCATCAGAAAAAAAAAACACAAACTCGTCCTTTCTCGGACTTAGGAGAACCTGAATACCAAGTTTGGTTATTCTAGCTCTTATACTTTCTGAGATCCTTGCGTTCATACAGACGGACGGACAGACGGACAGACGGACATGGCTATATCGACTCGTCTTCTCATCCTGATCAAGAATATATGTAGTTTGTGGGGTCTGCCACGCCTCCTTCTGTGTGTTACATACATGCGCACAAAACTAGTATAGCCTTTCACCCCTTGGGTACAGGTGTATGTTTATAACATACAAAATTTGAGAACAGAATTTTAGTCCTCCAATCCTAAGATCTTTTTAAAGTTATTCATTCTGAATTAAATTTTGCTTTGAAGTATTAAAAATGTATAAAAAGAAATGTAGAGCATTTTTATGTATTTTTAATCAAAACTCATGTCATAACATAACATAGCATTTATTACTAAAAGTTCTCACGTCAATCATACGCCGTGTTGTGCGAAGAGTGTAATATATGGTGCACATCCAAAAACTACGAATCATTTTATTTTGCTAATTTTCGTTATTTTGTATAAACAAACATAAAAGCATAATCAAAGCTAATAAAATGCTAAGCCAAACAACAAATAGATTAAATTCACAAGTTGGCGAGTGATTTAACTCACTCATGGAAGGTCTGGTCCCGCCAAAAAAATATATATGTATATTGAAATGTGCTCAGCTGTACGCCCTAATTGATGGTCAACTCGAGCACACACACACACACTAAATTGTCACTACACTACTTCATGAATGGTCGCGAAATGAGTCAGAAAAGTGCGGGCGTTTCAAGCGCTCCTCACAAATACACATTCGTACATACATACATAGCAGATACATATGTACATAGCACACTATGGGATCGGATGAGCCAAAGCGCTACAATTACCTAAATTAATATATTACCACAACCGATTGTGCAGCCTTCTCGTTTGTTCGCACTCTCACTCATGAACGAAAGAGTGCGACTGCGACTGCGACTGTGAGAGACTCTCGCCAGTTAAGTTGAGAGCGCTCCATTCGCGGCCGAACTGAGCTCTGCTCAGTCCCGAGTTGGTTTTCAAAAAGCTAAGGTCGTGCCTGCTGTCACTGCTGCTGTTAATCAGTCGCTGCCACTGATAATAGAGTTAATCCGAGCTAATACTTTCAAGATGTTGACAATAAAATCAGCGACTCTTCTAAGCCTCTCTATTTTCTGCTGCCTTGAAGCTGTCAGGACAGTCGACCAGTATGGTTTTTCTGTGGATGGTATGACGAGTACCGAGCGCATTAATTCTGCACTCCGTTGCATGAACATCAATCCACAGAATTCGGTAGATCTGGAGCAGGTAAGTGCCAACTGCAATAGCATCAGATTGAACACATATTTATGGATATATGTATGGTTGTGTCTGGGATGGCATCAGCAGAAATGATGATCGCAACTAATTTGAATAGACAGAGATGCCTAATGGAATTAAAGTTGATTTGAACTAATTAACCCTTTGGTAGCAATAGTGCGCCCAATGTCAATGCTGGTTGTGACCCAAGCGCAGACAATTGCCCAAAACATACATATGTATATGCACATCCATATACATACTAGATGCACTTTAATACTTATTTACGTGTATATGGACAGATCGGTGCATGCGCTTTAGCGGGCGTTTAATTGAACGCCCAGCAAGGCGACTCAGCATGCAAATGTACATACAAGTATATACAAGATACATACATATATGTTATTTATTAATGAAATTTACTCACAGATTATGGGGCTCTGGTATGGCAGCGAAATAATCTTGCACAGCCAAGACTACCCCGATGTTTACAAATACGATTCATGCGTGATTATACATCTGGCCGATGTGACCGAGCAGGTGAGTGTGGCAGTGTTTATGGCTTCTTCCCATTCATGCCCAAAATTTGTGAATACTACATAGGTCCGAAACGGCTTCATCAACAACAACGGCTATAACAATCGTGGCTATGGGCCCGACTACAACAATAGGCAACAGAACAATTACAGACGCACACAATACGGACAGACGACGACGCCCCAGTATTTGGATAACGACGATTACTTGCGCCAGCTCTCCGACGCCGATCGGATGAGATATTTGCGATTGGTCTGGAGCGAACGTGAGAATAATCTGGAGTATACGTTCAACTACACGACCAATGCACCCGGACATTGGTCTAATGTAGGCGATCAGCGTGGCACGCTCGTCCTTCTCAACTCCTACACCCAGTTTACGGGAACGGTGCAGGTTGTAAAGGCTGTCAGCGATCATCTGGTGTTGACATTCTGCGGCAATGACGTGAAGACCTCCATTTATACGGTTGTATTGACGCGCAACCGCCTGGGTCTCAGTGCGGACGTAAGTATACTCTTATCGATTGATGGCTCGTCAATGCAAGCTTTGTGCCAAAGGTACAAATTAATAGTTGGGAGAGCACTCACTTGAATTCTGGGATTTCCAAATCTAGAAAAGGTTTCAATAATTCAATAATTAAAGATTATTATTGCAGAGACAGACAAATTAAGTTAAGTTTTTTCTGCAAAGAGTCGAGAATTGTTTATTATACTATCCTACTGATCCTACGAGATTTATTTTCCTGGTCTGGTCTGGAAGGGGTTTAATTAGTTAAAGTTTAGTGAGCGGAATATTTTTCATAATGAGTTACACATCATCTTTTATCTTCTATTGCTATTTTTTCATCTCCATTATTTTTTTTTGTTAGGTCTAATAACTTATCTGACTACCCTCTGCTGTGAATCGGGGCATAGCTGGTCGTTTGGCAAATAAAATTCCCCCACCGTGTCGGATTCGTTATTAGATATTTGTGTCATTTTTATAGGCTTTTATTCCTATAGCTTTATTTTAGTTTAAGTTCTCTTATGTATTGATTTTTTGTTTTCTTTTTCTTTTACATCGACTGCATTGTTTGTCGATGAAATAAATAAATAAATAAATCATCATTTTTTTCATCTGCACAAAATATTGTAATTACAAATAACTCCTTCAATGGAATTATGTCATTCGATATCTACGACAATCATCATCTAACTATTATTATTATGTTAACAATAATCCTCCTATCTCTCTCTTTCTCTCTCACTTGAACAGGAGCTGCGCAGCATTCGGAATTTACTTTCACGTCGAGGTTTATATACGGAGAATATCCGAAAAGTCTGCAACGGTGCCGGCCACCTGAAAGGCGCTTTTTTCCTTTCCCTGCTCTCTTTGTTCTCATTATATATCTGGTGGCGTAAATAAATTTTCATGTTACGTCGCAGACATCGCATCAAATTACAAAACGATCCAGCCATATTTAATGTTAATTTATATGTATTTGAACGAATATTTAATTAACTTAAGCATTTAAGTTTACTTGCAATATGAACTCCTAACAAATTGTAGATTTGTTTCTTTTCATTCTTTATTTGCTGGCTGGGGAAAGCGTTTGCTTAATTGCTTATGTTGTCAATTAAATTCAATTAGTTGTAAGTTGGGGATGTCAGACAATCAGGCGGACGGTCGATTGTCTTAACAAGCCGTGTCTGGAACTTAGATATACGTGTGTGTATGAGTAACGGCAGTTGTAGGCGATACGTGTTTCTCTAATTCAATTACACAAAGATCGCACAAGTCTTTTTATGCCTTTTAATTAAAACTCTTAACCAAAAACGGCATAGAGTCATCGCTTTAACAATATCCACAGTATGCATAAATTAATAATTGAGAAGGAACCTAACATTTTAGAGCATTATTAAGTTATTCAAGAAGCACCCGTTATTATATATGTACATATGTATGTTTATCTTCTGCAGGGATTGAAGTGGCGCAATCTCTACCAAGAGAATAAGTCGGGCTAATCTTCTTAGGCAAACCAAAAGCTGAAGAACGGTAACGGTATATTCTTTGCACAAACCTAATAAACCCTTTTTACTCTTCGGCTACATTTTATTTGTTTTTTTTTGTTTTTGATAAAACTTTAATTTTACTGTTATTATTTACAACAACTTAAATTAAACTTATAGAAATATACAAATACAGCTTAAACTAGGAGCTCAGTCTTATTTAATTATTTATATCATTTAATTATTAATTATTTATTCTTATATTAAATAAATCTATTAGGAAGATCAGCAGGGTGTGATCTCTTCAGCCTCCTTCTTATTACTCTTCTTCCTTTCGGCTACAGGGTATAAAAATGCTTATATAAATATATATGTTGGGGTATATTAAATATGTGTAACAGGCAGAAGGAGGCAATTCCGACCCCATAAAGTATGTATATATATTCTTAATTAGCATGACGAGACGAATCGATAGAGCCATGTCCGTTTGTCTAAATGAACGCCATGATTTCGGAGACGATTCAGTAACACGAGTTAATTTTATTTTTATTTCACGCATATAACTCAGCACGGGAAGAGTGTTTGGGTACAGGGTATTTCCCTGTCGGGCTCGCTCCGGTGGAGTTTTGCATTTTTGACGAGCTGGATTTCATCGACAGCCATTTATACATTTTTTAATGTGATTAACACTTTTAAAGTGTTTGTTTAATACTAGCAGGAACTACATTTTAGCACTTTTCTTTGTATTGTATTAGAAGCTGGAGCAGATATATATGTATGTAGTACGTATAGATATGGATATGGTCACATAAACAATATTATACAAGTATACAAGTGCATATGTGCGTGCATAAAGGCATATTTTTCACATTCAAGGCAAAGAGCAGAGCAAAAAGAAAAATTCAGTCCGACTTTTGAAATTTAAGCGTATATGGTGTGTGAATATTAAAGTAGCAATTTTTTTATTTGATAAAGCTCTTTATTTGCTGCTCATGCATACGAAGTTTGAAACCGATTGAACGAACAAACAGCACCAACTATTAGTTATACATACTACCTACCGACCTACCTATACATACTTACTAAACTATATTTTCTTACTAACCTTTAATATTCAACTTTATAATTTCAACTTTAAAACAGTTTTCAAATGTTTTTATTTCCGCTTCATAGAGTTAGCCTGTCAGGTAAAATATGTTTAAAATATTGAATTATTGAATTACTTAAAATTAAAAGCTCAAATGAATAAGGATATAATAACAACTTTTGTATTGTAGCTATATTTCCGATTAACCAAATTGGAAATACATATAAAAAATCTCTTGACAGGGTGGCGAAAATTAGACTGTAATTCAAACAAATGGAGAAGCTAAAGTCCCGAATTTTAAATATATTGAACATTAATTAAAAAAATTAAGAAGATTTTAAATTAAAGTAAATAAATTTTTGAATCTGTTTACGTCCCTTGGTTTTCGAACTCACATAAAGGGCACATTTGCATATGAAAGCATTTACGGTAAGCTCTCTTTATCAGGAGAGAGTGGGGTGTATTGAAAAAAAAAAAACAAGAGAGAACGCTGTACCCAGGTACCCAGGTAAACTTCCGTCACTGAGTTATATGCGCCCATAGCAGCAGCAAAAAGAGGAAGAAGAAGAGCGAACTTGTTGCTGCAGCTTGGGGGGTTGCACTGGAGAGAATTTGTTTCGCTAATAACTTTTCTTAGAATTGACCGAATTGAATAAAATTTTGAACAGTAGACAATTATATATAAATTGTGTGTGCAAAGTTTGGACGGGAAGGGGGGAGGGGAGGGGGGGGGGGTGGAAATTAAAAAAATAAAATAAACTCGTCCTTACTCGGACCTAGGAGAATTTGGATGCCAACTTTCATAGTTTCTGAGATCCTTGCGTTCATCCAGACGGACAGACGGGCGGACATGTCTAGATCGATTTCTCTCGTCATATATATACTTTATGGGGTCGGAGATGCATCCTTCTGCATGTTACATACTTTGCACAAACCTAATATACCCTTTTTACCCTACGGGTACAGGGTATAAAAAAACACAAAAGGCATCTTTGGGCTATATCGGCCCATCTTATCATGCTGATAAAGAATATATGTACTTTATGAGGTCTGCCACGCCATTTACAGACAAATTATAAAAGAAAAAGGGAAAATTAATGAATAAACCTACATCGCAAAATATTTCAACCTTCATTTAAAAAATGTAATCACCCACAATTTAAATATCCTCTTATTGAATAGAATACTTACCTAAAAGACACTCTTTAATTGTTATATACAAAGATGAATGTATACCTATACATGTCTAAATAAGTCAGCAAACAATTATAGTATATGTATACACATGTAGTATGAATTTATGGTTCTAACATCTATAACATGTACTTGGATCAGTTTTCAATTTCACTTAATTTCCTATAACTTTTGAAAAGGATCGGAACCTACCGGTTCCCGACACTGAAATCCAAAAAAATTAAATAAACACGGGCTTGCTCTTGATTTTTTATTATTTTAGTTTTGGGAGTTACGGTTCTTAGTGTAAGTATACAAATGTTGTATTAGGTATAATAAAATAAAATGAAAACCGTTGTCCTTAATCCTATTCAGGCTTCCCGAGGTATTACGTCCATGTTAAGGCAATTTATAACATCGGTCGACTGTTATGGTGTTATTATTATATTGTTCATGCATTTTCGAAATAAATGAATAATACAATGCTAATAAATAAATAATAACACTGTTTATGTTGGTTAGAATATAAATTTGTATAGTTTCTTGTGGCGAAATAAATATAATTTATAATAAGTATAAGTTATGTACATACATGTCCTTTAACATTAACTTCCAAATTACGGAACCTTTCTATTAATGATGATTAAACATTGTGTTGAGAAACCAAAAGTTACTAAGAAGCTGGTATGTGTATAGCAATGTATGGAGATAGAGGATGAAGTAATAAGGATTTACATTTAACAATAAATTGCAAAAATCTCTATTACGTTTTAAGTAATAGTAGAGTGTTTATCTTTGATGCTAAGCTGCCATCGCTTAAATGTTTTATTTATATTGCATATTTTGTTTAAATCTCTATTAATGTGGGGTTCTGTTTATTGGTTAAGCTGATATTTGGATTACAATATAATATTTAGGAGTATTTGAAATATAAAAGTGATTAAACTTCATTTAACATCGTTGGCTCGTCTTATTCATCGTTGGCGGACCGTCTGTCCTTCACTACATCTCAAGGCGAACTCTCTGCGTCGTTCATGGACCGTCTGTCCTTCTCGACGAGCTCTACTCGAATGTTCTTGGACCGTCTGTCCTGCTCGACGAACTCTACTCGAATGTTCCACATGCCGCCCGTCATAGCGTTGTGTTGCACTTCTTGCCGCCGTTGTTGTAGCCTCTCGTCATTTCGCCGAACTCTATGCTTGCGCCGTCGATCACTTCATAATTGTCGCCTTCGTAATTTTGTACTTTTGCCTCTTCTCTATGGCTCCGTTATACTTATTGTTGTCTAGGGTTGTTTAGTTTATTCGCTTATGTTCTACCAACCATCCCACATTAACAGATATCTCAAAATCTATGCTCTAAGCTTAGCGGTCTTCGAATTTTACCTCGTTACCTTTATATCTTGTGAGGTAACAATTGTTGACATTCGGTTGCCAAATTCTTGTAATTAAAATTAAAATTGTTCACATCGGGATTTAATATTTATAATTTTGTTGAGAACATATTCATTATTACAGTGGAATTTGCAAACATTCATTAATCTTGTCCCATTGAAAAATTAAAATGTTGAATAAATAATGCACGATGTGTTAAAATAATAATTTATGCATATGATAAAACCCATTTAAAATGAATGTATGGTCGACTTCATATTGCGAAATGTTTTTTTTGGGAGTGGGAGGCAACGGCCCACCTGCACCCCCTTGCGACCTTGTATATACTTAATTTACCAAACCTGGAATACTTTCGTAAGGGAATTCATCATCGTGGTGGTTTTGATTCTGTGAATCGATTATGCGGCGATCTTGGTGCTGTACAGCGGACAAGACAGCTGTTTTTTCTGTAAGTGACATAATGCTCCTTCTATTAGTTATCCATCGCACTTTTTCTTTGACCACATTTTTTGACGGGAGCTTTCAGATGTAGCCAAAAAGTGAGGCGCTTGTCAAGAGCGATTCCAAGGCATTTTGCGTGCGACGAGTCTTCCAGGGTTATTCTCTTCAGCTGAATAGGAGGCGTGCAGGATATTAGCCTTTTCAGTGTGAGGCAGGCTGCCAGATTTCAAATCGAAAACATATTGAAACGCACAAAGAAATTATTTCTGAAAAGTATTCTTAAAACTGCCTCCTAAAAATATGCAACAGAACACGAGTAGCCCCGAAAGTTCCCAGAAAACCAAAGCCGCCTTTGATCCGATATCATTGCGTCTTTACATACAAGTATTTGCTTTTGCTTGTATGTGTGTGTGTGTGTGCGTGCCATTGACACATTGCCACATCCCGCAAAAGAAAATAAACAATTTCGGGCTACTTTGTACTACTAGGAAAGACATGTCTGTTATCGGGCCGGTTCAAAGCTACATACTTATCAGAAGTGGCACACGACGCTAGCTTATCAAAGACAATCCCTTAGCCTGCCTAGTAACTAATGCCAATTTTCAAATTAAAGCAATGAGCTGTTTTTTTTAGATTGTTTGTTTACAAAAGAGCAACGCGCCACCTTTTATAAGGCCACTTAAATGAGTGTCAATTACAATTGAAAAACAAATTTCTGCTTTCTTAAATGTTCAAGTGTTAAAAATGCAGGCACAAAGATCATAAAATATGTTGATAAACTTTGTTTTCATTTAATTTTTTTGTTGGCTGTGCGCAAGAGTTTCACGTTTTGTCATCATCCACGAGTACGTTGCTATTGTTGACCGGTAGATTGCAAATGTCTGGGGATTGTTTTGTTTTTGTTTAGGTTGCCTCGTATCTGATAATGGTATTTGGCAAAAAAAAGTACTCGAGACATGAGCGCATTTAAAACTAAAAAACTGTGCTTTTGTCGGTGGCTATAAAGTGCTATCAGAACACACTTGTATACACCAATATATTTAAGCATAGTATGTTTGTACGTGTATTAGGAGGAACCCCATAAAACTTGAGATATTTATACCCGTATTTAATTGCATGCATTTGCCCGCATGTCTACCTTCGATTATATGTACTTATGTACGTATGTATGCATATATAGTATATATATATCATATGTTTATTTATATTCGTGTATAAGCATTTGTAAACAATGGTGGAAAAATTCTACCAAAAATTATTCCTATGATTAATTTTGCAGCTGCGATGTGTGTGCTTTTGGTTTTTTTGGTCGCCGTTGCGGTTTATTGCTCAGCCCGATTTGTACACTAGCAGACAACGTGTTATGCTGATAAGAGCTCTCGTCCGTCCTTGTCTCGTACACCCACCAACCGCCACCCATACCTACCATCTAGAGTGAAGTGCCCCAGTAGCGAACACGTTTAGCCTCTAGGGGCATCATCGATGACACCCATGAACTTGAAATTATTGTTTATGAATCCGTTTTTTGTTGTTTTACAAAATATATGACTACATATTTGTTTTAGTTGCAGCACGCTTGACGCTCTGTTTTGAAAATTCGCCAAGCCGAGGGGCCCCCTATGCCCACCCAACTGGCACTGATAACTCGAGACCATAACGTCAAATATAAATAAATGCCGGCAAAGCTAACGCTGACGTTGTCTCAGTTCTGCCTACCAGCCGGGCTGCGCACGCCGGCTACTCATGACTGTTACACAAATTAGTGCACTTGTATTTGTGGCTGTACAACAAGACGCAGTAGGGCGATGACATAATACTGAAGTCGCCAGTTGCAATACAAATACATACAAATGTATCTAGACGTGTGTAAGAAAGCAGCCAGTTGAATAGTGCCTTCAGCAATTGTTTACATGTTGTTTTTCTTCAAAGCACTGACGCATATGTTTACTATATATTTTCTCATTTTAGTTAATGATCTGCAATGTAAATAACCGGCTTTGCTTTTAGTTGAGGCCAACTTTTACATTTGCAGCCTAAACCAACTCAGCCGATTTTTCCAATTCCTATCAATTGATTTTTTGAGTAAAAAATGTTACATTTATTTATGCCACTTAGTCTCTTCAGCAAATAATTAAGAATACTTAAACTAACGACATTATTAACTACAAGTCCAACACAATTCGTTTAAAATACCCACACGAGCACTCGTAGATTAGACGTTCAAGCAGTATATTTACTCATGTTTTGCCAAAACACTTGAATGCTATTATTGTGGTACACACTACTGGAAAATTACGAAAATTAAGATATACTGTATATTGTAAATTGAAATTTTTTTAATTGCTATTGCTACGATAATTAATAAATCGGTTAATTATATTCGATTTCGACTTTTAACTGCTAATATGCAAATGTAGGTAATAATACTAAAACTGTAATAGGTATAATAAAACTGGCATAACATAAATACGTGTATGTAGTTCATCCCCTTCATCCGGAACACTTTTAATAATCTGTCACAATCACATAAAGAAATAATGCGCGACCCTAAGCCCAGATTCTATATGCAGCCTCTGTCTATCGCCTGAGCTTGTAGTTTGATGTTTTTCTTTTTGTGTACTATATAGCATAAAATGTGTCAATTACGCGAGATTTGCGTCACACACATTATATATTTTATGTGCTACCATACTACTTATAAATAAATATGTATGTCTCTTTCTTTCTTTTTTATTTAATTTAACAAGCAGACGAAAATGATTTGCACTTTTCGACTTTGCACTTTGGAGTGGTCCTAATATGTATATGTACTATATAGTAAGTAACTGTACTTACATCTTGATACACACAGTTGTACATAAGTATGTGCGGATATCTACTCGTGCAGTTGACTTTTGAAAAATATGCGCAGTTATTACAAGTTTCAGGCGACACCACCTTCAGCCGGTGCAAACCAAATGCATTACGATGTAAACAAGGGTTCTGCAAAGTGCGTAGTTAAAAAAGTCAATACTTGTATAAAAATGCATGGAAAATGCACAATCACCAGCAGCAGGCTAATCAATTAACTATGAGTGTGAGTATGAGGTGCTATTAGAACTGTATACTATACAGAGTAATAGGCAATCGCAGCTGATAAGCCCCATCTGTGTGCGTGTTTGTACTATATGTATATGAAAACAAACACTTGTACTTACACTATGATAGCCCAAACAGTGCATGATAAGGCGTCAATACACACCCACACACCCACACATGCACACACGAGTAGCCATACGGCTCTATACGGCTGCTATAAATGGGAGCTCGCTGCCTAAGCAGCCAAGTAGAAACCTTTCGAACGTACAGCCAAGCACGCAAATGTTTTGCACGAGAAACGCGTGCGATCTTCAACAAGCTAAGCATATATAGAGTCTATGCTCTATATATAGACGCAGCCGCAACCCAACTGTGATACATACCAAGGTACCTGCAGCGCTAACTACAGCAACCACAGCACCAGATCCACAATCCTCCAAATCCCAATTCCAATCCTCAACAAAATGTCTGCAGCGAACAAAGTAAATCATTTGGTGGGCGCCACATCCAGATATATTGCCGGACGCAACGCCGTGCAGACTGTCTACTGGCGCACCTCGTCGGGACCCAATCCTCGCATGTTAAAGACGAACAAAACCTGCGAATTCGATCGCAGTCAGAAGACGCCCCAGAGTGTGAGAATGCAGAACTTCAATCGCAGCTATATCAATCACAAATAGACTATGGGAATATGGATGTGTCTAACACGGACAAGTTCCTAATACGTACGAGTATCTGGCTCTTCACCATAATTCTAAACACATTTTTTTTTTCGGGTGCACTTTATATTTATTTAATGAAGTCGTGTTCCAAGAATTGTATATAATATGGTGTGCAGAAAATTACGAAGCAAATTAAATTTTAGATGAAACCGCCACGTAGGCTCTTAAAAAGAAACATGTGACTGTAGGTTGGTTGGATCAATAGGTTGGAAAATTGCGAACGAAACAAAATATATGTCTAGTTTTTAAATACAGAATGAGTTCGAATTTCACCTTCGGGGGTAAATGCATATTTACTGGCATGGCCTGGCAATAAAAACAAATATGACTCATAGTCATACGAGTACTTACGTATATTTTCATTAAAGAACATTACGTCTTGCAATAAATTACTGAATCAACAAGGCCAACAAATATAAGTATACCTTCAAGCGAACAGAACGCTCTTTCCTGTCACCTTGAGGCACAGAGCTTAAGGTTCGACGAAAGAATCCTTTCATGATTTCTAAGTAGTAAAAATAAAAATGCAGTTCCAACAACAACTCTTGTAATTGCGCTTCAACAACTGCTTCTGTAGATAAGATTTTCTGTATATGCTTTATATCGTTCTCGCTTGCTGAACAAAGCAGAAGTTGCAGTCCATTGCAGTCCAGGTTATACAAGTTCGGAAAAGTGTGAGTTTAGTATTTGTATTCCGCTGGGCCCCCACTACAAAGTATGATTTGTGTCTATACTTTTGCAATGCATGGAAAGAGATTACTTTTACGGCTATCGATTTTTAGATTCGATTTTTTAATCATACTATAATGGCACGCGAATTATCGCATAATAGATCGAAGGTTTTCATGTGCATTTGGTTGGACTACCATGAGCTGTTTCCATTGAATTCTGACCCCTTTTATCAACAATTGGAGCGATTACCAAGAAGGGACCGGATTTGTAAAATATAATGGCGTTGGTCTACATCAGAGTAAGAGAGGTTAGTTGGTTAGTTATTTTATTGTCATTGCAAAATTTTCTGGCTTAGAAAAAAAATGCAAAATCAAAATCAAAGGCAGCAGAAAGGACCAGAGCTCTTATGAGAGAGAAAGAAGGAAGCTATCCACAAAATGGCAGCAGGTCATTAACTGAATCTAAAACAGGTTCTATCTTTTTTTATCTTTGCCCAATTCAATATAAAATATATACTAGTATATACATGTATTGTATGTATAGGGAATACTGTACAGGGACTGAGTAAGGAATACAAAAGATATGGTCATTTATTTGGGAAAGTTCAAACACAGTTTCTGCTTTTCCCGTTCGGAGTCCAAATGGAGATATTAAATTGGGAAAATGAAGGTTAAATGAAATCGTTAAGCTGTAAAAACAACAAAAGATGAGAAAAAACTTTTAATATCCGTTTCCATATTTTATTTATTTCGTTTAATTTTATGTTTATTACATACATAGAGTTTTCATATATATAATTTTCTTTTGGTTTATGATTTATGTTTCTTGTATGGTTTTATGTATATATATATTTTTTTGTGTTTTTTATGTTTACCGATCTTTACGTTTATAATTTTTCATTTAGATATCGTTCGTACTTAATTCTTTTATTTTAGTATTTTTGTATTAATTAATATAATTTGCTTCGTGGGTGAAATATGTTTAGGTTTTGGTTTTGTTTAATTACGTTTGTTTTAAATACGATAATTTATGTTTACATTCCGTTTCCGTTACTTAAAATTACAGCCTTTATTAATAATTATGTTTTGCTTCGATTTTTTTACGTTTTTCTTTTTTTATATGTTTTACTTTATACTTTTTATTCCGCTTGCCATTGTACTCTACGAATCCACTTGCCGTTCGCTATAATTTGTTTACTAAATATATGTATATATATATATAGAGATTTTCTTTATCGTATTTGATGTATTTGAATAATTTGCACACATGTATATAATATATAATAGTTATCTAAATATATTTTTGTATTCATATAGATTTTTATATTCCATATTTGACAATTTCAGTTGGGCTTAGTGTCTGGCTTTGCTTTGTTGTAGTTTCGCTTTTGTGTTGATTTGTGTAGTGTAGTGTTGTTTTAATTTCTGCTTTTCATTTAGCATACGGAAGTTTCACATTCGCAGCAGAAGTACACAAATAAATTTTTATTTTTTATTAAGGTGTTTTTTGCCATGTCTTTGGTTGTTTTTCGTATGTTTTGTTTCTAGTATTATTTCGTTTCCTTAAATCAATTCACATCGATAACAATTGATCTCAAAAGAGAAAAATATATGTCAATATTAATTTTCTTATTATCTTAAGATTTGGTTTTTACTTTAAATGTATTATTTGTTTTCCTTTAATGTAGTTTTGATTAAAAAATATTGCAGCTCGAAATTGTATGTATTACTTTTTACCTTAAAACGGAACACAGTAGAGATCAGTTATAGTGTAGTGTATTCGACGTCTCTCTGACCATAACCGTTACCGTTATCATTAGCGTTATCGTGCAGTTTCCTTTTCTTTGCTTGTTGATATTTATGTGCGTCACTTGAGTTTTGAGCACAGAGTTGTGTTTATCTATCATCTTTTATCGTTTATCGGCTTGACTACGGTTGCTGTATTTTTGTGTGTGTGTGTGTGTGTGTGTGTGAGTGAGTGTGCGTATGCCTTACGTATTTGTTGACGCTACTTTATGTTGCTCCATATATGCATGTATGTACTCGTAGTTAATGTATATATATATATATATGTATATAGACTTGTTTGTATGGTAAATTTTAGTTAGCTAAAAGTATTCTCTTGCACGGAAGAATTTGGATACACTTTTTGAGTTTTGCTAAAATTATATGTACTCGTCATTCGTCTAGTGTTTCATTTATTTTGCTAAGTTCTCTGCTTATTATTCTGCTATTTATTACATTCTTAGTTTTCGTCGTAGCACAATTACTGGGCTGATTTAATTGGCTTAACATATGTACTTAGGTAGCTGCTATATTATCTGTTTAATCATATGTCTAATACATTTGTGATTTTTCATTCTGAGCGCAAAAAACTGCACAATTACTCGCATTCACTTCTGCCACTTGCCTTTGCTTCAGCACATGTGCAATATGCACATATAAAATATAAACATATCTATTTGCGTTTGTATATAATATTGCACATGAGTACATACATAATAAGATAATACATTTTATAAATAATTATTTCATTTTATTTTTAAGCTCATCCAGAGTCCAGACGAGCGGCAACCAAGTTTCTGTAAAAGTGTATTGTTGGTATTTATTTTTATTGTGAGCAGGCTATTAAGGGTTAAGGCTAAACTGAGCTAAATCAGGAAATGTTTTTGACTGAAAATATAATTATTTTGTCAGCTGAATTACTTAGATACTGAATATAGCGGATTGGCTTTGGTACAAAGTTCCGCACTACCGTTTCAATGATAAGTGAAAGTAAAATTTGATTTCTCACTGAAGCCCCGTTAATTTCATCGTTTTGTGAAAACAGGTGTAATATTTCAAAATAAATATTAACACCTGCGTTTGAAGATGTACTAAATATATAATACGCCGCAGAAAACTTAATCGTAAGAATTTGAACTGCTTTAGTTAGAATCATTGAAATATATTTAATATATTTGCATAAATACTTGATATCCGATTAAAATATATGGTCAAACAAAATGCATTTTGTCAACTTCCAAAGTGTTTGGGCTTATAGCGAAAACGGGGCTCTAATAAGATATCAAAGGAAAACATAAAAAAATCAAAGTAAATCTGTTTCATAAAGAGATAGATAGAGAGAGAGAGAGAGAGTGCGTGTGTGTGAGAGAGAGAGAGAGAGAGAGAGCGTAAAAAATAATAGGCAGCGACCTTATAGATATCCGAGCAGATTTATGCTTTCATGTTTATTATTCAAGATGTTTGTGAAACGTCGTCTGCAAAAATAAGATAAACAATAATTTCATGCATTTGTCACAATATATCAATTTTTGGTTATGCATCGTTTTTTATGTGTTTCTTTTAGTATTTAACACTTAGACATTTTCATCAGTTTTTTGTGGTTGTCTGGTTTGATTAAAAATACTCAACAATTTCGTTTACATGAAACCATTATGCTATAATTTATTCTTGTATATATCGTGTGTTCTAAATATTTCTACGCTTCGACTTAATATGATACAAAAATTTTTGCTCGAAAAACCATTATGCTTTTTCATTACTTTCACCATTTGCCATGTTTGCCATGAATTTTCCGCCTTGCCCAACTGTTATCGCTTGCCTATCTCGAAATTGCTTTACATAGAAGTTTCCAAAATGTTTCGCTGACAATTTTATATGTGTATGTGTATATAATATATGTATATGTATGATCCAAAAAATTGGTAAATTCCATAGCGATTCGAAAACACAAGACGTCTCTCTCATATACATATACGATATAAAAAATGAAACAACATTTGTGGGGGGCGCACTCGGATTGTTTAATAACAACTAAACTAACTTGACGACGACTAAATTACTAAATGTCATATACATACAGGCATAAAAATATGCACCTTGGTTTAAATACAGTTTAATGCATACATAGTACGGTTTATTTGCTTGCGTGTTGTATGTATGTTTGATAATGCACATATATGTGGTTTTATCTAAAAGAGTTCGTTGCACGTTTATTGTATTTTGTAGTGTAAACTTAGGCTCGCTCGCATTCGCCTCTAGCCTAAAACTAGACTGACTGTGACTCTCCACGCGCTCTCGTTGTATTACTTGTGTATTTACGCAACTTCTTGACTTGTTCTTTACATTACATTACTCGATTTTTATGTATATTTCGCCAATCATACAGAAACTTAATCGGTAGCAGTTTCCCGCTACTTCCGAAAATTTTCATTCTACTCGTATACCCTTTCCAAAGTTAGCTTGCACTGTAAAATGGAACTGCATAGGATAACAAACAAAAACCGGAACGTGCCAAAAAACTTGAATTGAAAGACTTGAATTTGCTGGATGAAATCAATATTGTTTGTTGAAACTGAAGAGTTTCATTAGAGGAATAACAAGTTGCAGTGAAAGAGTTTTTGGATATGGAGAATTCATCCTCAAATTTGTTCTTTAAAGCCATGAATAATTTATTTTATTGGTCTCAAGTGCAACCACAATACTACAAACTCGCAACAGTAAGAAGATAGTTTCACCAGCAAATGTGGATTACTTATTCGTCGTCCTGCCCACATTATTTGCCTTCAATTTAAATCTCTGTATTATCTGGTAAATCTGCATATTAACAAATGCATACATTATTTAAAAACAGTATAATCTGTGGGAAAACGCTCCTCCACCTCTATAATGAAATGGCAAAAGTTTTGCTTGCTATTTCATTTACACAAGGTAGGAAGGTAATTAGTTAACGGGCAAGCAAATTAATTAAAACACACATTGGAACTTTTGGAAGGGGTATTTATACATACATATATACGAGCATAAGCAAAAGATATTAGTATTATTTTTTGTTAGCCAGTTATTTGCGTCTATATACAAATGTTAATATCATCACAAGTTTTGTGGAGAATGCGCGATTCTTATTGCGCTTGTTTTTGTTTATTTTACCTTATCATGCCCGTTGTTTCTTAACTGATTTGCGCGCTGTCGAATTTTAGTTAAGTACAATATCATAAAAATAACACTGTATATATTCTAAACTTTTTACGTTTACATTAATAATTAGTTTAGCTTTTGGTTTTATTCGTTTTGTTTTGTAAATATAAATATATATAATATATATATATATATATATATATATATATCTCAGGTTTTCCATTTATTAAATATAATATAACCATATATAAAGCGTGCTCTCACAATCCGCATCGGCCGAAATTGTCGCTGCGGTAGGCCGTGGCTGTAACTTCTGCTGTGTGGCGCCACTAACAGCCGGACCACTCCCCTGCACTCCTCTATGTAGGATGTTGTTGTTTCGTTGTGTATGTAGGTATGTAGGCCTGTGTGTGCGCGCCTGTGTTATGTATTTGAAAAATTCGTAAACAGTTAGTACACTTTTTATACTTTTTAGTTATTTTTTTAAGCGTCAGTCTTGTGTAAATTAAATTTTACTTCAAAAACATTTTAATACATGCACAGGCGCGTTCACGCGCAAACATACACACACCTACTCACGCGATGAGGTTCTTGGGCGGGCAGGCAACGGGCTAGGGGGCCCACGATTACACGCAATCGGTTTTTTATATAAAAAATTGCTGCTCGACATTTACATATAAGTACATATGTATTTAATAAAATGTATATAATATTATATATGTGTATACATATATAATATATAATAAGGTTTATTCAATTCACACGTAGATGTTTTTAAAAAATGCATTTTTCGTAAAAATGTTCGTTAATTAATATAAATACGTTTTTGCTTTTCTGTTTTTCATACTTTTTAGACGCCATGGAGATATTGTTCTTGTACATTTAATTTATGTATATATGTATGTGTTTGATGTTTTTTATTTTTTATTTGTATATATAAATATAGAGTTTTGCCTTGCTCTTTGTGTGGGCCTTGGGAAGATTACATTAGTACATTAAGTAGTTATTTTTTTTTTTTTAAATATTTTTTTACTATACGGTAAAGATAGTTCGAGTTAGTTACGACGAAAGTTAGCAAAATAAGTTGTAATTGAAATACACACACTTAGAGTTTTATTTTCTTGTTATCAATGCTACAGCTTACATCATGCAGAGCTAATCGAGTTTGTTGTTGTTGTGGAAATTTTTGCTTATCTTTGCCCATCGGCTTTTGGTTTAATTAGAGCTAATTTGACACAACCGTTTATTAATTCAACTATTTTATTAGAACTTGATTACTTCCTCATGCACGAGTTATCTAGTTTATATGTACGTGTATGTATATAGTACGCTAGGCTTCATAATCTTTACTATATTTTTCTCCTTTCCTGGTTCGCATATTTCTTAGTACATATACATATATAAATATGTCATTGTAGTATTTATGTATTTGCTTGCATGCTACTCAAAGATTCGTTGCACTTTTTGCAAATTCACTTAAAATTGGCGCACCTGAAAGTATGCTACGGTTTTCTCTACAATGTGACGTTGAGCGACGCTTCAAATGTTGCGCATACGTCATGTGGGCGGTGAGTGAAAAGCAGAAAAATGTGGGAAGAATGCAGACAATATGCACGCCATTTGCAGTTGCTATGTAAAAAGAAAAATAACAAATAAAACATACACATGCAAATTTGTTTTTTTTTGTTTCGGGCTTTTATTTTTTTTAGTTTTATTTTTTCATATTTTTTACATATTTCAGATGCGATTGTGTTTCATTTGTGCTGTTGTTTAGTGTTACCGTGTCTCCTCAACTTGATATAATTTTGATGAACTACTGTTACAATACTGAATTTAGTATGCTTCGAAAGAATAGGCCACAAATGGTAACGATGCAGAGAAAACTTTTTCAATTTTGCAAACATTTCGAATCGATATTGCCGCGAAATTAATTGAAATTCTTATTGGAATGGTTTGAGGACAGCGAGCTGTTGGTTTTGTTTGTTTTAGTATCGAATTTGTGATCGATATTGTGTGAATCGGAACACATGTCGTATATAGCAGCATTAAGCCCGAAACATGTTATCATATGTTCACCGAATTGTGCGCAGAAGATGGATAATAGGCGTGTGTACGCCCTCTGGCATTGTGTTGTTTGTTCTCCTCGAGAAACAAATGCGGGCATTTAAGCGAACACCGGTAAGGCCATGGTAGCAGCGAGACTTTGAATATTGCTGTTGTGCTGTTGTGTATGGCACATAGAATTTTGAAGAAGTTTGGATATGCCTGACTCGCAAGCTCTTAACCAATGACAGAAGTGCGAGTATATTTCAAGAACTGTTTGATCCGAATATTTTGGAAATAGTAGATAGAATGTAAGGAGTGGGGAAACGACGTTGTGGCTTGCTGCTCCTTGACCCTCACGGTGATTAAGCAATTGCCTCGGGAAACAGAATTGGATTATAAACGAAGAACTCTACAAACAAATAACAGTAACAATTTGAAATCAACATCAATTAACAGAACTATCGAACAACTTAAAACAGGATCTTATTTGAGGTTTGATGTTTGTGGCTGTGTGGCTTTGCTTATGTGTATATGTGTATGTATATGTATTCTATGAGGCTTCCAGGAACCCACGCGCCACCACGAGCCACAGCAGCAACGATATTAAGTATCGGCTAATGATGTCAGTACGTATAAAGTTTGTTTGATTGAAAGATTTTTTTTGTTCCAGATTCAGCTTCTAGGGTGACTTGCGCCACTTCCTCGATTGCTCTGGATTATAGGTTTTGTATTTGTTTGGCCATTTTGTTGATGATTCCTGTTGGATTGATGGTGTGAGTGGCGGCATTCCTGCTGCAGTTGTAATGCTTGCGGCTTGTGCATTTTCTGTGTAAAATATATTGGGCTTGGTTTGATTTACATATCTGAGAGAGGGGGTGGGGGAAGAAATTGAATAGTTTAAAAACAAAAACAACAAAGCAAACTAGAATACCCAAGCACTACAGCAAATGGACGCGCACTACATAATACCATTGCGTTTTTTTTAACTACTACAAACTAAAGAGAAAATAGACAAGAGAATTGAATGTGTTCGCATTTTTGCATTTTGCTTTAAATTATTAAGTAGCTGTTGCTTTATTATTGTTATTGCTATTTATGTATGCTTTCTGTTTTTTCATTTGTTTGAGTTTTTTATTTTCGATATTTATATATCTGTATGTAGGTATATATTTGCTTGCGTTAAATAATTGTTTAGGCCTATGCTGCGCTTATTGTGATGATCATGTCGTTTTCTTCCACTTGTAGTTATTATCGTTATAATATGCATAAATATATGTATGTAGGTATAATTATACAAATTAAGTTTCATATACTCGTATAAGATTTATTTGCTTTTGCGCTTGTGCTGTATATTTAATTTCGTTTTTATGTTTAATTCATTTAGGTAGGTAGGTACTTAGTCTAAAAACATGTTCGCCCTTAGTTGAGCTGCATTTTATCAGTTGTTGTTGTTCTTGTTGTTTTAAAGAATTCGTTTAAAATATATCTTTTTTGTTTTCATTTTTGTTTTTTTTGCTATGATATATATTCTTCTTCTCTTTCATTTACTTTGACTAATTTTGTTTTACTCATTATTTGCCTTTGTTGTTCCATATACATGTATATATATGAATACATATGTGTATATATTTAATATATAAATATTTACTATTTTTAAATATATATAAACTTAAAAGATTTTACGATGGGACAATCTGCTCGACGCTTTGCATTTATTTTTCCGTCTACTGCACACAGTAAAAACTTAAGAATCTTTTATTCTTTTAAGTCATAAATTGAGTTACAAATAGTTTGTTTTTTTTTCAACTTTGTCAGCAAAATTTTCATTCATTATTAATATTATGCGTTCGTTAAATATATATATATATGTATTTAATATTGTTAAATCTAAACAATTTGTTTACGATTTTTTATTTTCTTTTTCAAAATATCACGTATATACTTAATTTATGCCTTGGATTTGTTTTTTTTTTGTTTGTTTTTTATATATGTTTTTTCTAAATTTTGTTTTCGTTAGCTGGAAGAGGCTGTTGTTCGGGTTCGTTGGCTTTTGTTTTGAAATGACTCCAAATAATAATAGATTTAAATATCGATTTGATAATCGAAAGTCGATAAATAATTATGAATTTTATTACTTTCTTTCATAAGCTGATGATTCATTCGATTCTCTTTAAGATTCGATTCATAATTTCAATAAAATTTTACGGTCTATAGCTCAATAAACATTGAGATGTAAAAGTACTTTTGAAATTTGTACCTTATGCCCAGCAAATATATTTATTTCCGGTCACTTATTGATGGAGAATGCTTGAGAATCAAGTTTTAAATAAGTTGCAAAACTAATTTTGAAGCGTGCTTGTTTTAATTCATTGATGTTTAAAAATTTCTTTCTGACATAGCTCAATATAAAAACTAAATCGTAGTATCTAAACTGAAAGAGATCGCCTTTTTGGTATTATAAATCCAAATCTGTGGACCGAAACTTCCCCATGACAACAGCCTCCACATATGCTTTAAGTTAGACTGCCTTTGAACCTAAAATGATTCATTAAAGTGTGTTACTATATACTTGTATGATGTTTGTGAGTATCTGTGTGTAGGTAAAGGAAATCCTTCATATCATCGCTCTATTTTTTGTTAGTTTTATATGTATATGTCGTAACTAAAATCTTTCGGCTTTTTCTTTTCTGGTGGTTTCTATGTTGCTGTTTCAAAAATGTTTCTTTTCTGTTGTAGTTGTTGGTTTGTTAATGATAGCATAAATAAATTATATTTATATATGTATGTATGCTTTGCTTGTATATACTACAAGTATATATAGGTATATATGCACGTTATATGTATGTCAGTAGTATGTGTATATTCTATATTCTCTTAACGAGAATGCATTTAGTTCTGTGGTTTGTGTTATAATTATCAATTATTGCTTTCATTTTCATTTCGTTTCAACAAAGTTTAGCATTTTTTCCACTAATTATTGTTACAATTCGACTTTAAAAATTTGTTTATTAAACTATGCAACAATTTGCTCAACAAGTTTTAATGAAAAATGTCGGTGACTTGACAACATGGAGGAGGCAACAACAGAGGCAGACTAGAGGGGATCGTGTCTTGTCGTATCGGTCGCGTCTTTGCTTTTTGCAGGTATTTTTGAAACCTTTGGGTTCGCAATTTGTTCTCAACTACATACATGGGCAAATAATTGTGTGGTTGTCTGTTCATAGTAAGGCATGTCATATTATTATTTTACATCTTTATAGATTTTTCTAGATATCTTAATTCAGCCAAATTATACACCAATTTCAATATTGTTATTGCATTGCCTCCTCCCATCTCGTCTGTCGCTGTCCCTACCTTATCTTAAAGTCGAGCCACAAATGTAAATAAATGTATGTAAACTTATCGATTTCTTTTTTTGTTTGTTTTTTGTTTGGGTTTGTTTGTTTTGATTAGTTCATGTTATCATATGGTTTAACAATATAAGTATAAAGTAGTCAACAGAATTTTGGTTAAAACAGATGTCTAACGAAAATGGAAAACAACAATTTTGGATATCATCATCTTCGTCGGTTCGTCGTTGTTGTTAAGTTTTTCATTTTAATTGTTATGTTGAATTTTGTTAATTCTTTTTTATATAATTTGCTATTTTGTTAAATTTACACTCATGAGTGTCTATGTATTGCTTTAGTTGTTCTTTCGTTTGTCTGTTTTGTTTTTGTATCTTTTATTTTTTTTGTGCCGGCAAGGCCGCTTTCTTTTTACCTTCTATAATGCATTTTAGTTTTTTATCATCTCTCTTAATAGTCTCTATAGATGTCTCTATATATATATATATATAGCTATTTGTATATATACGTTGCTTTTGCTAGCATATTTTGAATATATTTATTGTATAGTTGTTTAGTTCACGTTTTTCTTTCTTTGCTTCTTACATGCTAGTTTTTTTTGCTTTCCATTTTTAATTTAGTATTCGTTTTTAGACTAAAATTTCGTTCAGTTTTTCATTTTTTGCTTAAATTAGTTTCACACACACACATACTTAAGCATACATGTCGTGTGTGTGTAGGTGTGTTTGCATGCTTGATCGAGTATATATGTATATGTATGCACATATACACTATTAATACATATTTATATATATATGTGTGTGTGTGTGTGTGTCTATATATATGTACTATATAATTAGCTTTGCACGCATTATGCGTGGCTTGTTCTTTACGATTTTGCTTTTTTGTTTTGTATCGCTGTATGTTTGTTTTTTAACAGTTACAGTTACATTAATGTTTATGTGTGTGTATGTTTGTATGTATGTATATAAATTAGTTTACATATATAATTTATGTCTTTAATCTTGATCTCTTCGTGATGTCACTCTGTCTGCTTTGCTGCCCCTCTGACATTGCATGTATGGGTGTGTGTGTGTGTGCGCTTGTCTATACATGCACATATGTATGTATATATATGTATATGTATATATTATATTATAAGTATATTTGTTTGCCTCCTAATTATCTGCTCACGTATTGCTGAATTCATGATTTAAATAAATTAATTGTTTGTCTCTAATAAATTATATACGTTAATGAAATATTTTAGCCGTTTAAAGGCAAAAGAAGAAGGATTAAAATTACAGTTCTCAAAATTAAAACGATATTTACTTGCCATTTTGCAAAAGAAAATTAATCTAATTTTAAAGAAAATAAATGCTTTTGAAAGCTTTTCTATCATAGATAAATTTAAAAAATTAAAAACAATCCTGTAACATTTTTTCGTTCTTGTCTTTTACTTTTTTGTTTTGCTAATTGATTTTATTGACCAAACAATAGTAGTAATGAGAAATTTAATGAAATCATGAACATTATTCAAAATTTGCAGTTATTTCACGATTTGAATTTTTGCCCATTACTTGGGTGTTAAATTTTCTTTCTTTTCTTTAAATCTATTACATATTAAATGACTAACTGAAACAGTCTACAGACAGAGACATGAGAGCGTAGAGGGTTAATATTAATTTGCCATGCTACGTTCTATTCTTCGCTTATTTTCGGCCTTCAAGGCAGCTGCTAGCTAGGGCGCATTTAGTTGCAACACTTTGTCACACAGCTTGCGGCATTTGTAGTCTCTACAGCATCCCTTCCTCTCTTTCACCCGCTTATTCTTACCGCTTGGCACTACTACTACTACATAATTGCACATTAAAAATGTTGACTACAGAATGCTCAGCTGTTGTGCCTGTTGTTGGTGTTGCTGCTATTGTTGGCCTGCCGCCTGCAGCTCAGCAGGATGACATATTGTTGTATATGTACATACATGTTATTTGGGTACTTTTCTACTACTCTTCTTCTTCTTCTTCTTCTACTTCTTTATACATACCTACTACTATTTAGCACATCTTGCTCCTATTACTGTCGTCCTCCTCTCCTTTCCCCCATCATGCTCTGTCGACAAACATATATATTACATATATACGTATATATATAAATATACATGCATATATCATAAAACTATAGACAGCTTAATTTACAGTTGTTGGTTGAGAAGGTTTGTGTGTGTGTGTGTGTGTGTTTCGTAATTATGTGTGTTGGTGCAGCTTTTTGGCTGTTTTGTTGTTGCAAATTCATTGAATTTCATGTCTTTAATTAAATTTCATGTAGCAGCTGCTCTTATGCGGATTTCGTTTGTTTTGTATTGTTTTTATAAAATCTAGTTATGCGTTGTAGTAGTAGTATTTGTTGTTGTTGTTCTTGTTGCTGTTGCAGTAGTAACATCACTATTGTTGTAGTTGTTGTTTGTTGTGATAATAGTTGTTGCTGTTGTTTGTTGTTGTGGCTGTTGTTGTATCCTCAAAATTAACACGGATATATCCCTACAAAAAAGTTTTGAACACATTTTATATATATGTACAGAGAGAGTGAGAGAGAGAGGGGGGAAGAGAGTTACATTTTTTTTTAACTATTCAGGTGGGGTTGCTTTTGGGGGACAACAACAAAAGCGCTGAACTACTACGACTCTACTACTAGCATATAAAATATACAAATACGTCATATATATACAATATTTTACTACACTAGAGTACACACGCACACACACACACAAATAAGCGAAAACAAAAAGAGAAAATAATAAAAAATACAAAAGAACAAAAATCTTCGCAGCAGCTTTTTGACAAAGTTCATTTTTTTTGTTTTTTTTTTTGACTACAATTTGTTGCTTGTTGTTTGTTTTTGTTGCACAGCATTTTCCACTAAACCGAAATTATAAACAACTAGCGCGTATGTATGTTTATGTCTATGTATGTATGTGTATATTATAGGTGCTAGCACTTTCCTTCTTGCGTTAAAACTAAAATTGTTTAAGATTACAAATTATAAGTTAAAATTACAAAAAACTATAATTAAAATTAGTGCGGCGCGGCTGATCAGGCAGGCGGCTGATGATGATGTGCTTCTTGTTGCTGTTTTTTATTGTTGTTACGGCTGTCAGTTGTTGTTGTTGTAGTAGTTGTTACTGTGCATTGTCAGTAGTTGTTGGTTGTTGTGGTTTGTTTTTTTGGTTGGCAGCACGCACTCAACGAAAAATTTGCGACTACAAAAATTTGTTTACGTTTTGTTTTTGTGTCAAGCTTTTAACCTTTTTGTGTAGAAAAGAAAAAAGAACAAGAACGAAGAAAATAAAGCAAAACCGTGTGTACATCACATGTATATAGTAAGAATACGAATGTATGTATATAGCAACAAATATTACGACAAGAATAAAGTAGCAACAGCAACAACAGTCTGCCTCTGCTGCTGCTGCTGCTGCGGTTTTTCTTAATTTTTAATTACCTTGATAATTCTGAGGCCAAATGGTGGGTACATTCTGTGAAATTGCAAAAGGTGATTGCTTTTTTTGAAATGCATATTGTTATATTTAATTTATTCGGTTTGGATACTCACCATTGGCACACTATAGTACTGATAGAATGGCTGATATTGCATGGCTGAAGGTGGGTATATAGCTGGCACTCCAGCGGCTGTAAAGTCAGTAACTAAGTTTTGTTAATTTGTAGCCACAGAAGTAGGTAGATGTAGATTGGATGTAGTTGTTGTTGTTGTGTATGAAAAAAAATTATGAAATAAATAGAAAAGAAATAAATCTGTTTGGTTTTTTGTTCTTTATACAAATTAACAAGCAAACACATAAACAAAGGCAAGTTTAAATACTAAGAGAAACGAAAGTCTAGATATTTTATCTACCGATTTTATGATAAATAAGATAACGAAACTTCTAAGTGTTCTTTCACTAAACTCTACAATTCATTATCGATTTTGAGTTACTCCTTTACCGCTATATCAAATATTGATAATTTTTTTTATAGTTTTACAATCTGCAGAAGGTTAAATTCTTCTATTTAGTTGTTGAACTTCGAATTGCAACAAAATATTCTTTATATGTAGTGTTATCACTTTTTAAATTGTTGTGTTAGCTATGCAAGGCAATTCTGAATCTTATTTCGAATGGCGAAAAAACGATTTTCGTTTTGCAAATAGATAGTTTCGGGTAGGACTAAATTTATAAGTACTTATATTTTAAAAATCTTTCTATTATTGATTCTCGTATTCTTCGATAAAGATAATATTTGCGGTTACAAACTCTAGGCTTATATTTTTATCTTTAACTTTAGAAAAAGCAAAGATTATCAATTGAGGACACACCATTATTTGAAATAGAGATCTAGGGGCTTATCGGTTTAGATTGAATGGCAAGAAAAAACATAATAACATTATGAAAAACTACCATCATTGATCATCTCTCTTTCTTAGTATTTTTACCTTATTTTTTCGAAGAGAAACAAAACAAAACATTGGTCACTTTATTCGAGATCTACTCACCTGGCGGATAGACAGCAGCCGCAAACTGATCCATCGGTATATTGCTTATAGGTGCCGGTGGTGTGGTGGTATAATATACGGCGCCATTAGTGGCCACAATCGACTGTAGGGGATTAGGCTGAACAGAGAGATATGACGATGGTTATGAATTACTGAGCAAAGCTGGGAATTGCATTCATCGACTTACCTGTTTTTTTATGGCCGGCGCTATATTCAGCTTGCGGTCACGTAGCACCACGCATTCACCCTATGTATATAATTTGCATTGGTGCAGGGTTGGCAATAAGAAATAAAAAAGAAGAGCATAAATAGAGGCGCATAAGTAAGGCAAGTCTTAGCAAATTTCACACACAAGCCGAAAAAGAACGAAATTTCAATTCGAACGCAGCAGCATCAAAAAGTCTCAAAAAAGAAATTACATAAGTCAAAATTAATGCGCAACGTTTTGTCTTTTATATTTAACTTTTTTACTTTTGTTTATTGTTTTTTGATTTTTTTTTTTTGTTTTTTTTTAGCTTCTGGCACGGCTATGAAGAGAACACGTGCCAAGGCAAAATACCATTACCAAAAAATAAAACTAATTAGGTACACAGTTTTAAAAATGTCATGTACATGGGTTTAAGGTTGGCACAGACAAACTCAAATGGAACCGCCAACATCGAAATTACAACGTTGCCATTTTCTCTCAAACGGCGCTGCCTGTGACACAACAAACAACAAAATATATATTAACGTAACAACAAAACTTTATTATAATAATAAAAATAAACGAAAACGAGAACAAAAACTTTATTAAATTGCACAAAAGCGGTAAAAAATTATACAGATTTTAAAATTGGTTGGAATTAAGCCTTTCCTTGTTGTATATTAAGAGAATCCAGTTTTAAAAATTATAAAAACGCAACAATTGCAACATTAAAAAGATAACGAAAATTTGTTTACAAATAACGCCAGCACCAAGTTAAATAAATACCATTGTAATATAATTACAACCAATTATGATTAAGTTTATATTAATAAACGTGCGAACTGAACGGGGCACCCAACTTGCTGAGAAGGAGGTAAATAAATATGCACATATGTATGTACTTTCAGAAAATCAAACTACGCATTATTTATTGGTATAAGTACTTCCTATGCTAAGATTTTCTTTGAAAACACATTAAAGATGTTCCAAAACGTTTAATTGGGTGTTTCCCTAGCAATATTTAGGACCGGTTTTCCCAGAATAAACAGAGAATTACATTTTGATAAGTTGGCAGCGCTAAATTAAAGTAATGAAGTTTGCCGAACGGCTTAATGATCATGTAGAAATGCAAGCACCTTATATGCCTGTCTACTCGTGTCAGCTGATTGGAACAGCAATAATGGAACAGTGAATGAAACTCTGCTCAAAATAAGTAGAAATAATATAATAGAGATACATATCAATAGTTATAAATAAGTTTGGTAAGAACTGATTCTTCCAAAGTTTGCCCAAGTATTAGTTGATTATGAAGATCATCAAATCTAAAATAAATTGTGAACAATTTGACCAATCACAAATTTTGCCTAATGGGTATAGCTAATCAAAATTGATATCCTGCTGTATATATAAGCATCACAATGGAGAGTGATGTTGTTGTGACTTATTGCAATTATTGCAGAAGACTTGTCCAAGAGCTTGAGCTATTTAATCTACTCGATTCACAGCTACTTATGTATAACAAGAAGCTCTTCATTGCTAAGCGGTGCGAAACCATCTTCAAATGCCAATTAGTCGCTGATAGCCTCGAAACATGGGTTGTATGCACGAGTGTGTATATGAAAACCTACTCAACAGTCAGTCAGATAAGCACATGCCGACTGGGAGTCCTGGCCATTTACCTAAGCAAATGTTTGAACAAGGTGCAGAGCTCTGCCGGGACACAACTTTAAACTTTAATGGCGAGTATTTTTATTCTTTTTTCAACTTCATTCTTCATTCTTTGGCCGCTGTAGGGCAAACATTCTATTCATTTACCTACCACCCACGCACAATGAAGAGTTAGAAAGGAAAGAAAAAACACAACCAACCAACAAAAGACATAAGGACCGTAACACAAAAGACGCACAGTCGAGTAAGCAAACTAGAGAGCCGTATTCAGCCAACCGACTAGGTTACCGAGCAACCGGGCGACTGAAGAGCTGAGGAGCCGTAAGTCCAACTGACAGACAGACCTACAGAGCGACCAACTTGTGTCTTAGACGAATTTAATTAAGAACCCTTTTGCTTGCCTTCTTTTTAGCCGTTGTTTCAGCGCTTTTAACTGACAGTCAGTTGACGCAGAAAAGGGACCAAAGAACACACACACACTCACGCACGCTGGACTGCACGTTCCTGGTTGCCTTTTTAAAATACACACAGGCACAGACACACTCATACATTTATATTTAAGAGTCTTGTAAAAAGCGTGCCACAAAAAGAAGTTAGAATCGCTAAAGGCGCGCCCTCTCTTCGTAACTCAAAAAGCGCGTTAATCACTTTTAAATAAGCCAAAATAGAGTTCAAATTTTTACTTTGAAGTTGATACTGCTGTTGATACTGCATGATGATGCTTCTGATTGCTGAGAAGATGGAAAGAAACTCGGCAGAACTTTAATACCCTCATTCCCCGTAAACTTCGAGAGCACGTTCTTCTGCTCCTCCTTGCATGTAGTGTATGTATGAGTATGTTTGTTTTCGTGTGTGAATATGTGAGTGTGTTACTCTTAATGCGTATTAAGTCGGTAATTATATGTTGGATTAGTGCGCACTGTTGGAAGTACTATACGTATACACCCACAAGAGTTCTTCGCACGAAAAAATTCGGTTAGTACGCACTGTTATGGGGTACAAGTATGTATGCAAAAGGAAGAAAGTGGCTTAAAACAGAGAATGCGGTAATTAATGCGAACAAGCACTTAAAATTACACTTCAAAAAAACGGTACTTTCAGAATTGCAGTTGCAATTTAGATTATACCACATATTTCTGAATATTACGGTTCTGAATATAACTTATTTAAATGATTCGTATTCTTAAACTCTAATTTATCGGACCATATTTTACTGACTATTTTGCCTACTTTATTAACTTTTTTGGTTTTCATTTCAATGGATGAAATACATATCTCTTTCCTGAAAACTTATTTTTAAGAGGAGCACAGCTATGTGTGTATTTCATATTGTTAGTCCAAATTTGATTTTTTTCCTTTATGTTTCCTTTTTGTTACCCTTTTCATTAAAGTATTATAATGAAATGCTACGTAGCAATTTTCTGGGAATAACAACATAAAAAGAACCTACATGGCCCAAATGGGTTCCAAGCACATTGTGCGGTCGTGAGGAAAGGATGTAGGATGAAGAAGAATTTGTAATGATATAGGACACAAGGATTTGTTTGTTTGTATTTTCAAAAAATGCTAATATTACGGAACATAATCAAATGCTGGACAGTACCTAAAATAAATTGGTAATAAGGTTATATGGATTGGCCCCTCTGAGAGCCTGCATTTTTAAATGAATAAGCACCACTTATATACTCGTAGAATACATTTGAACAACAACCAATTTAAAGGCTTTTCAACCGTATTTTCTTCCTATTTTCTTTAGGAAATGAAAGAGATTCTTAAGTTTATTTTAGATTTCGGAACCGAACTAATTTTATAATTATACAGATCAGAAGTTGGATTAACAAAATCTTGTTTTGCATGGCTAATTTGTAGAAATAAATATTGCAGGCAACATAAAGGAAGATTCTATATTTAGAGTTGGAGCTTAATTATATTTCTCTGACTTAAGCTTTATCTTTTATTAAGCTAAGTACATGTTTGGTTTGGAGTAAGATGTAGAACAAAAATAATAGTCGGAATTGTGATAAAATAAAGACTAAATTTAATTACTGAAGGTGCGGCGTGTGTGTGTGTGTGTGTGTCTGCACCTGTGGATGTATTAATGTATCTGTGTGTAGTTGTGAGTGCCGAATTAAAACTTCGTTAAACGATGCTTCAAAGCCGGGCAACCGTATCACCCTTTGTGTGCTCTGTTGGTCTGAAAACTGCCTTCTCTGCTGCCTATGGGCTCTTTTGTGCCGCAGTTTTTTATTTGTATTTCACAAGTGGGCGCCTTGTCGTAGTTTTTGTAAGCTATGAAGCCCGGAGGCATTGTTGTTCCCATTGCTGCTGCCACTGCTGCTCTTTGGCTTTCACAAGGACACTTGCCGGCATGCATAACAAAATGCAACCGCCAGGAGTGGCAGTGGTCGTGGCAGCAAAAACAACAATGAAACAAAACACATTAATGACAACAAGTATATACATTTTTCACTTAATGTATGCACAACACAAAAAAGGGAGAGCATCAAAAAATCTCACACAATGCAATTGCTTAAGGTGAGCTGCGCAGTTGATGCCCCACAGAAATGGGCAAAAGTTGCATCATAGATCTGATCTGGGGACGGGTCCAACATGGATCCAGATTACTGTGGGTGGGCAGTAGTGGCAATAACAGCAGCAGTTATGCAATTATAATCAATTAGTATGACAAATAAAATATGGCTGACAAGTTCATTTTTAATAAGCGGCACCTCAGCCGCGTGCTACGTTGCAAAACAATAACAAAAAAATGATATTGAAATATATTTTATAAAACAGGCAGCAGTCAACTTTTACTTGTCACTTTTACTTTTATGGGAAACAGCAACAGAATAGACAAAGTTGGGTTCGACTTTTGACTTTATTTGGACAGCTTGTCTGTCTTGTGCATCATGAATTGAAGCTGAGCGTTCAATTACAATGCCCATCACAACAGCAACAGCAACAACAACTACAACTATTGACTAGCTGACAGCATGTGGGTCGAACTACTACCACAGCAACAGCAACAGCAGTAGCAGTAGCAGTAGAAGCAGCAGCAGCAGTAGCAACAGCAGCCCAAAGGTCGTTCATTCGCCTAACAAACTATGTACCTGGCTGACTGACTCTGACTGGATAGCTCTAGCTGCTGGCTACTTGCCATTTGCTGATTGCGCGCTCACAAATCCCTACGCTCGTCGTCGCTCATTGAACTTTTATGGCCATGCCAGCAACAATCACAACAAGTAATAAAGTGCTGATAATCGCAACTGTTCGACCATTAAATGCTCTGCAGTGTTCCTTTATTCACTAACGAATATAGCCCTCTTTTCTGCTTATTATTAGTCTGAAACACATCTATACCGTTTTAAGCTCTGTTTTCATCAATCTGCTTTCAGCAGCTGATTGATATACATAAATCGCATTCGGAATCATGCGTCTTAATGAGCAACCAGTGAGTAGAAACAGGTGCCTTTCAGATACAAAATCAGATTTGGAATTTTTGAAAATACGTGGCGATAAAAAAATTAAAGCAAAACTTTTGAATTATTTCGATTTTACTTTAATTCAATTAATCGGCCCAGTTCCTATTTGGGCTCATAGCAACAGTGAGATATCGAAGAACGTGGGGAATCAGTAGTAAATGTTGTATTTTTAAATTGTTGGTCAATCGTTTATTTCAGCAGATTATTAAACTTCCGCATGCACATTTTTAGAATGATTTCTTCATTTTATAACCGATAAGGACCGATAAGCAAGAATAGGCAAGAATAGGCAAGAATAGTATCCACCAGTAAACTTGTATCCTACAAAAATTAGTTCACAAAACGTATACCCATTTCACAGCTATTTATAGGGTACATCATATGGAAACTTACTTGATGTTATGCCGTTTGCCGCTTGGCTGCTCAATTTCAATTTTTATAGCTTAGGGTGGTGGTTCACAGCAATAGTTTTGCACAATGAAGAAGAACAAATTAAATGAACTCAAAATTAGGCCAAATCAAATCAAATGACAAGTCATTAGCTCCACACAACAAATGAATCAGAATCTAAATCAATATTTGTATGTAGTATCATATAGTTAAACGAACGAAACCAACACTAGCACTAGACTATGGACTGCAGCTCAGCTGTAAGCCAACTGATCACTAATTGAAAGTGTTTAATTTACGTAATTTAATGTTTACAGAACATTGTACAATATGTATTTGCATAACGTAAAATGGTGCAACGAACTCAACTCAACAAAATGTTTGCGCTTATGTTTTTTATTTGCTTGCTTGGCTTTGCTTGGGTTTTTTTGGTTTTTGGTTTTTTAATATATATTTTGTTTTTAACTTTTACATTTTTGTTTCGGTTACTTTCATCAACTCAACAACTTAGAACAGACGCAAAATGTACAAAACGCCAACCAACCGTACAACAAAAACTGTAAATGCAAATTGCGTTACGTCATCACGTAAGGCATATACCGTTCAATAACAGCAAACTCGGCAGCTGCACGGGCAGATTAATGTGAAGAGAAACGTAAGGACTTGCAAATTGTTGATTAAAGTGGTGTGTGCCTGTGTTTGGGTGTGTGTGTGTGTGTGTGTGTGTGTGTGTGTGTGTGTGTGGGATGTGTATATTTTTTTATTCTGTTTTCTTGTGGTGTGGTGGTGGTGTGTTGTGTTTGTTTATAACAAGAGTTAAAAGTTTAAATAACGTAGCGTAAAGTGTATAGTGTTGTTGAATTGCATATATAATATGAAGAAAAAGATAAACAACGTAAGGCAACGTAACGCAACGGAAATGTAAACTCAACAAACGTAATGAACGCAATATAAGAAGTTTGTATAAAACGGTACGGTACTTTTGCCTGCCACACGGCATCATACGCATTGCATTGCCTCTACTTTACTATTGATATACATATGTATGTAAGTAGTAGCAGTAGCATCAGATGATATAGTAGCTAGTAGTGCAATGGTAGTAGTGGTAGAGTAGTAGTAGTAGGAGCTGTGTTCGCAGACGCGGAAGTCGCGGACGCGGCGGCTCAGCACGCAGCTTTGTTCACAATGTGTGTGTTTCTGTCGGTTTTGGTCTGCCTGTGCGGCAACTTTCAGGTAATTCCCTAAAAAATCGAAGCACATTATAACAGTGGTTGTTGTGGTTTTCGAATAGCAGTAGTGGTAGTATGTTGTAGGGGTACTAGTAGAGTTGAGAGGTTATACCAGTTCTATTATTCTAACCTAAATATATATTCGTATTGTAAATAATTCAAGAAATCTACATGATTGGGAAACTGATTACTAATTGTGATAAGCAATTTTATAAAATAGCACAGTTGAAAGTGTTTGTCAGCTCTATTACCCTCAATATATCCGAATTGTAAATAATACAAGAAATCTACATGATTGGGAAACTTATCACAAAATTATCCTAATTGTGGCAAGCCATTTTTATAAAATAGCGCAGTTTCCTTAATTTTTTATGAAACTGCTTGCCAGCTGACATGAAGCTAAGTTTCATTTGGATTTTAAACATCTTGTCCATTAGATCCTTACCGTCTCTCTAAATATTTTCTTTTTCATTTAATTTAACAAATGTAATTTTCGAACTATTTGAATTTAAATTTGGTTAGTTTTGAAACGTGTTTTGGCGCTACCATATGTACTGTATAATTGTAATTGGGCAGCACTGGCAGATCACTCACAAGATAACGGATCAAAGTGTAGAGAAAGCTTGGTAAATGCGTAAATATATATACTTTTAATTAAATATTATTTGCCACTGACGAAATCGCGGGCATTTTAATTCAAACATTCGATTTTATTTGTTCGAACACTGAACCGACACAACTCTACTAGAAAGGTATAGAGAGGTATGGGAAGAGTAGAGTGTGATGTATGGTTATGTGTGCGTGTACTAGATGGTACAGTTGTCTTAGACGCGGCGACGTGTGCTTCAAATTGTACTTCCCAGATAGAAATAAAAATAATATAAAAGCGTCAAAGAAAAACAAAAATTATAACCAAGATTGACAGGCGGCGTACAGAAAAGAACATGGACAAATACTCACATCAGCTTGCAGTCTTTGCGCCTCTTGCTCTGTCTCGAATGTGACAAATCCGTAGCCCTTGCTGACGCCAGCGCGATCCACAATTATCTTGGTGGACTTGACTGTGCCATAGGCGCTGAAGACGCGCGTCAAATCGGCTTCGGTAGTATCGCCACTGGTAGCAGAAAGTTTAGATTAGCATTTGAAGCGGGGAATTGCAGTGATGATCACTTACCTGATGCCGCCCACAAATATGCGATTTGGTATCAATGTGCCATATTTAGGCGCCGTTAAAGGCGCCTCCAGGGTGCCAGCTGGCGCTGTGGCCGTAGCCGGAGCCGCTGTGATCTTATGCATCTCGGCTGGTGTCGTCTCGAGACGAAAGTTTGCACCGAAGGGCAGAATCTTGAGGCTGTTATCTACTAACGAGGGTACACAGGAAAATCTGCAGCTATGGCCGTCCTTTGACCACGGCTTATGGTTTGCTTTTGTTGGCTTTGTTGTTGCCGCGCTTCAGCTGCTTTTTGATTGCTCAGCGCTTTTGGTGCTTGTGCTGTGAATTTTTTCTTATTGCCGTCGCTTTCTTTACCGTGTCCAAATGCGCCTTGAATGTTTTATGTATATATAGAGTTAGTATATATATATAAATTAGTATCGTCTATGGATGCTTTGTTGCTACGTGGCTTTGTGTGCGTGCGCGGTATTTTCTGCTTTAAATTTTCTATAGACTTTATGTTGTTGTGCGCTCCTGTTTGTTTCTATATTTTCTATGCCTCGTTTTTTCGTTGCTGTCTATCTGTCACGCTGACGTTTTGGCTTCTACTGGTTGCTTTGTTTTATTCGAAGTCTGCTTCATTGAATTTTTCCAGTTTTGTGCGTTTGGCAAATCTGTAAAGTGCAAAACAAGAACGAAAAATATAATTAGTTAATGTGACTTTAAAGCAAATTTGTTGCCATTTATAATTGAGAATCCCTTACAAAAGATCCCTTTCTCAAAAAAGGAGACAGGGCTTGCTCTCCTCATTAAAACATATTAGCGACTATTTATTTCAGCGCCTGGCAGAAATGGCATAACGAAAAATGACCCTAGAAACAAAAGGAACGTTAACTAACTGCCTTTTAGGATTTATTACTGAAATAAATTGATAGACCTTAAAATAAATCATTCCAATTAAGAGTGATTTAGAACCACCTGCATCGTTTTTTTTTTTAATTATGAGTACCAAAACTATGAATTTCTTCAAAATGAATTGCAGAGCTCAACTCAGTAATAACTTCATAATTCTCAGCTCATACATTACAATATAAGTACGTCCTGTGTCCGTTCGAATTTAGAAGGATGGTCAGCATTATGGAATGATTTAATATTGCTAAAATTTATATATAATAACAATCAAATAAACTACCATGCTCTCTATGACAAAGAGTTTTTTCGAATTTAACTTTTAATTGTAATCTTTGAAGCCCCATGTTAAATTAGAAAAATTATTTCAACTTGTCTTTTGTAAGATGCCACAATTCAAGGCACATCCATGATTTAATAATTGACCTTTTAGGACATGGACAGTGTGGCCAAAAAAAAAATGATTTGATTTTATTTTTAAGCTTCTTTTGTATAAAAAAGCCTACATTTGTCGACTTAATGCAAATAATAATAAATAACATTTCAATCAGCGACAGCAATAAAAACCAATTCATTTTAATACAGACTCTTCTACATTGTTATTTTTATGGTGAATGTACCACTCGTAAGTAAGTCCATCCATCTACCTAATAAGCCATCAAATTACAAGAGGAACACTTAGGATTGAGTCCGTTCGGTCTCACAGCGAACATATACAACACACAAGTCGCTTTATTTCACATGGCACCTAGGCAGCAACCTCAACATCTTTCGCTTTGAAAAATGCCCCCTACATTTCGAAATCTTTCTATTTTTGGCATGGGCATGGGCACGGGCAATGGCAACGGCGACGGGCGACACATATGTCACATGAGGCGCGCCAGACCAGACCAGACAACAACAGAGTAGCTGCTGCTCTGTGTGCTCGATTCTAGATACTTGCTCGCTTGGTGCTGCTCGTTATTTGGTTCGATGTTGGCCACTTCTTTGCAGGGTATACTTGTATATAAATATATATGTACATATACTATATGCATATGTGTAAAAGAAAATTCGAAAGAGGAGCTCTGCTGCAGAAAAATCCACTGACGAGGTAGATGCTGCTGCTGCGACGCCGACCAGCCTGCCATGTGTGCGCCATAAATTCACCTTCAGCAAGGCAACAACAACCACACCAAGAACAACTGAAAAACAAAAACGAAATCGCAGTCGCAGTCGCAGCAGTCAGAAGTCGTTGTCGTCGTCGTCGTGGTTGTGGCAGAATGACAACTAAATAGAACACACGACCCAAAGCTAAAATTAAAGACGAGAGCACCACACAACGATCTTATACATATATACAATAAATACACATGCATACACATACATACATACATGTATGTACATATGTATATACTCTTAACAACCCAAAAAATGTTGCCGCCTGTCGACAACAACAGTTTAAAAAACTTTAGAGCACGATTGGGGAAAAGCAACAACAGACGACGACAGATGCATTGGACCATGAAAACGAAATGTATTTATGAAGTAGCCCCACAACAACAACTTTGTGTCGTCGATCGAAATTATCACCAAACTGTATCTATAAAACATAGGTATCTCCAAACAGTAATTGGTTAACATTTAAAAACTACTTCTTCCATCAGTTAAAAATATCACTTAAAGCATTCAAAAGTACCGATTGGATTCCGAATTAGAAGCTGTCGACTCTAATAAACTAAAGTAACTAAAGTTAAGGAAGTGCTGTTAGATACCATTTTAGTCAGATACTAGCATTTTGATTTTCATTTTTTTTATGTGTTCCCATCATAGTTTTTAAAAGACCCTAGATCCCCGCGCTTTTTTCTTTTGCGAAAGAGGATAACAACACCAGTTTAAGCTGCAGCAATGATTAAATAAAGACTTTCTTAGAGTTGCGCGATTCAAATACCATGCAATGAAATTTCTGCAAGCTTTGAAACATTTGGTATTATTATGTTAACGCATTTTCATTTTCTGCTGCATAATTTTTGTACGATTACGTAACGCCTATTTAGTTTATTTATTATACATCGATTGAAAAACAATTCGTAAAATATCATTCAATTGATTGTTTATGTAACTTCAACAAAATCATAAATGAAATGTTACAAGTAAGCTGGGGTTTTTTTTATACACATGTTGGCCTATTTTCCGTGTTTTAAGGATGATAGATAAACTGTCTACCTGTGCCGAGGACATTGGTAATAGAACTGGCATTAATAGTTGATTTGCATGAGATGTCGTAGCTTGATCGACGCTCATATCCGATGTTCAGAATATAGTTTACTGTACATAGGTTTAATTGCCAATGTGGCGGTATTCGTAGCGCCAGCAGCAGCTAATTACATGCTTTTGCATGTTTGTCGTTGCATGTTCTATATATATAGTTCATAGACGGGGAGAGCTCTCCCCCATGCCAACCGTTACACCCACTCATAAGCACTTAATAATCTTTACATATCATATTGTGTATTGTCCATACAATTTCGATACATTTGCTGTTCGCCGTGCTTATCGTTGGACATTTATCTTTAAAAGCGACGCATTCACGGGCGCCTGCTCACGTATGTGTCATGTCAGCAGTGTTGTGTTCACCGCAAAATCACCCCCACACACACACACAAACACACACACAGAGGCGTACACACGCACAGGCGCACACTCGCAGATTGGCATTCAAGCATGTACATAAAAATACCAATGAAAACATAATTAAATTTTAATTAACAATGAAAATGTCAAAAATTGTTTGTTTCGCACCGAGCTGTGAGCCTCCTCTTGTTTTCTTTTTTTTATCATTATTATTTTTTTTACCATCAATTGGCTTTATCGATTTAGTAGGCTCTGCGTTTGCCATACATACATACTTATGTATGTATATACTCGTGCACGATACGAGTATATCTCTTTAATGGATATGTGGAAAATTGATTTCAACACGTGATTATTAAGAGCAGCGGACATTTCGTACAATATAGGGCGAAGTGTGGGCGTGAAGAAAATGTGCGTTTGTTTAGAAAAGTTCATTTCATATATTTAAACAGCGCACACAAATCGGTGCATGTGCACGAGTGTATTGTGTCACGAAAAAATATAATATTATTTTAAAGTCTATTAAAAACTAAATATACTTTCATATCTAAGTATGTGAATAGAACCAGCAACAAAATAAAAAAAACATGCCATTAAATCGCGTCACATTTCCACATTTTCTCATAATGGATTTTAGCCATTCCACTACGTATACTCTTTCCAAATGGGCTTGCCGAAAATGGCGAAAGAACTTAAGACAAAGTTATAACATTATCTGAAAATTGTGAGAGTTTTTTGAATAATCGATTCCAGTTTTAAGAGCTATAGAGCCCTTTAAAACTAGACAAGGCTTTCCCAGAAGCTTTTCTATAGTAAAATTTTTATACCCTGTACCCGTAGGGTAAAAAGGGTATATTAGGTTTGTGCAAAGTATGTAACATATAGAAGGAAGCATCTCCGACCCCATAAAGTATATATATTCTGAATCAGCATGACGAGAGAAATCGATCTAGACATGTCCGTCCGTCTGTCCGTCTGGATGAACGCAAGGATCTCAGAAACTATAAAAGCTAGAATAACCAAAGTTGCCACCCAGAATTCTCCTAGGTCCGAGTAAGGACGAGTTTATTTTATTTTTTTTAAACAGGGTATTACACTGTCGGGCTTGCTCGACTGTAGCGTTCTCTCTTGTTTTATATTTTATATTACCGAAACACATTCCACAATAGCTATATTGCTGTACATTTGTCTACATAATATAAAATAACAGAGTAACGTTTGAGATGTATGTCTTTTGAATGTATCATTTGTCCAACGACAGGTTTTTTCATACATAATAATTTATTATTGAATATAATGAACAGAAGGAGAGTGTATATTTCTTTTCAAATAAGAAGAAATACTTTTTATTCTCCATTATGTTTTTAAAGTTATTTTTAGAATAAAAACTTTGTTGTTCTGCGCTAATGACGCTCAAAAAATAATTTAATTTCATGTCAGAAACCATAATTGAGTTGTTTTTCTTCACTTCTAGACCGTCTGAATTTCTGTATTTTCAATTTTCAAAATGCCGAAAATGTTAAGTAAAGAACAAAAAAGAAATAGAGAAAATTATAAAAAGCGTTGGGCCAGATTTTTGCTAAATCGACGCCGGATGTTCAGATGATGGCTAAGAGCATATATGTACTTGTATGTGTATGTGCCCCTGACATGAATCACACGCATACGAGCGTCGGTGGCGTTGCCTTGCTGGTAATGCGTGGGACAGGGACGAAGAAACTCTGCTGCTGTTGCTGCTGTTGCTGCTGTCCAATAGACTTGAAGATTTATTAGAGGTTTTTAATTATTATGACAGACTGAGAGCGGCCATTTTGCTGCCTAGAGCTAAATAAAGTGGCATTCAAAACTATGGACCCAAGAAATTGATGAGCGCCATAGGGATTATGGTTGCATTTATATGCAAAGTGTGCTCAGCGTGGAAAAGCCATAAAAAGTGTAAAGCGGGTTGGCAACAATGCATGAATTATTAACAATTTCATTAAGTTCCTGAAATGCGTCAGTCGGCTCTACATACCTACATACACGTATGTATACTTCAATATGTATCTGTGTGGTATGCATGCTTGCCGCATGTATGTATGTATGTGGGTTTGTGCTCAGGTCAGATGGAAAATCACAACATGCCAATGCTATCGACGGAATTTAATCAACA